AGGGGGGGGGGGGGGGGGGGGGGGGTTACAAACCCCCCCCCCCCCATGTAGTTTTTTTTTGTGTGTAAGTTTGTGTGATGATTTTTGTGAACCCCCCCTCCCCCTTTTGATTTTTTTGTTTTAATTATGCCAATGGCTGACCTAAAAAAGGTGACCGACCCCCCCCCAACGGAAATTTCCATGCCAAAAAAAAAGGGCTCCCTCTTACCCCCCCCCCCCGCAACCCCCCCCCCCCCCCCACCCCCCCCCCCCCCCCCCCCACCCCCCCCCCCCCCCCCCCCCCCCCCCCCCCCCCCCTTGAAAAAATCCTGCGTACGCCACTGTGTCCATGTGCCTATGGTTTGACATTTTCTCTGTTGTTGAGACTTTTGTCAAATTGATGCAAGAAAAAATAAATCATCGATGATCAGTCATCCCTGGCCTCAATCCTAACCCGAACGAAATCATTACATTGCCTCTAAAATATTTATCTCGTTTCAAAGTAAAGTATCAATATCCTACATGTAGCCCAATATATTATTGTGTTGACGACAGGTTAGTCAATTTGGAAATTTTATTGTTTGATATAATGCATTGAAGATTTCAATCTTGTGAATGTGCTTCATAATTTCTGTACAGAAAAAAAGTGCATAGGAAACCATTAAGGTGTATGCATTTATAGAAATCAATGATCTAAACAGTATATTCCGATTGTAAATTTTCAAATTTTTAATCAGCTGCTTCATTCGCTTACACATTGTTCACAAAACGATCTCATTAAATTGAATGACGTAATAATTCCTCCTCGGGTAATATTACTTTTGTTCATGTCGTGAGAGGGGTAACTATGGACAATAAAAGGGAGAGAGAGAGAGAGAGAGAGAGAGAAAGAGAGAGAATGGGAGAGTGATAGAGGGGCAGAGAGAGTGAGAGTGAAAGAGAGAGAGAGAGAGAGAGAGAGAGAGAGAGATAATGAGAGATGATAGAGGGACAGAGAGAGTGAGAGTGAAAGAGAGAGAGAGAGAGAAAGAGGGGAGCTAGGGAGAGGGATAGACAGCTATGATCAGGCATCCCAGAGAGGGAGAGGGGATACGAGGAGAGAGAGAGAGAGAGAGAGAGAGAGATGAGACAGAAGGGGGGGGTAGGTAGTGAGCAACACTAGTTTTTTTTGCCCTCAAAAATTTGAAAATTCGCACCCCCCCCCCCCCTTGAGGCCAAGGGGAGGGGGCCCGTCACCAAATAAAGGTAAAATTAACGTGTTTTTACCTGTTTTTCCCAGGGGATGGCCCCTCCCTGGATCTGCCACTCGGGAAGAGGACAATTATTATACAACAGGACAAGGGGCACTTGTCAAAGTAAAAGGACCTGTTAGATTGGGATAGGGGCAATTATCAAAAGATGAAGGGGGTACTTCTCAGAGGTAGAAAGTGGTACTTCTCTTACCTAAAAAGGGGCACTTACCTATGAGAATGAGATCACTACATCTATGCGAATATCAAATTGGCAATTTGTTCAACGGATTATGACGTAGTCACCCCTTATTTTCCCGCTTGTCGTGTACACAAATATCACTAATTCTCTGTTGTTCTCCCATGTACTTTCCCCCTAGTTGAAACACTATTCAAAATATGTTATGGAGAGTATATAATTGCCGCCACTCTAAAAAGAAAGATCATCACGAGTTATACACTTTTGACAAATTTTTAATTCTTTTCAATTTAGCCCATTTTTATCGATTCAGCCAATTTGAAGAAACCATAGTTATTGAAACTTTCAAAAAGGCAATATTTTATTAATTTTGTCCGATTTCATTACATTTTCACTAGTCTTCTTTTTTTTTATTTTATTGCTTTCTTTTTTGAGTTGTTTGCTACAAGGGTTCTGTTTCACTTAACTAAACAAAACTATTAAAAACAAATCAAACTCAATTCAAAAGACTGACTTAAGAAAATAAATAAATGAGAAAAAATATTTTAGAAAATGAATTTAATATAATGAATAAATTCAAAAAGTAAAAAGAATGAAATAACATCAAAAATTGAATTGGATCTAATTTAATTCCATAGCATTAATCACATGAATTTAAATAATTTTGTAAGGTTAATGCAAGATAAATGATCTTGGTTGATTTGATCCGTAGTCACCTTTGATGTTGTTGTTGTTGTTGTTGGTAAATGTTTCATGGCGTTCATTCAGTATTGAATATATACGCCATTAATATCTTCAATTTGATAAGAAAATCAGTTATAGTCTTCATAAGAAAACTGAGAATAAAGATTTGTAATGAAATAATTAATTAATAAGTAACGCAATTTATTAGGAGTCTCTGGATGGTTTGCAACTTCGTGTTTCTGCTTTTTTTAAAGTTTAATCTGGTCAGCCCGGTTTCGATTGCATGGAAACTAGCTTTGCCCGATTTGAAACAGGCTTCTCGGCTACTCGGCGTGCGTGCGCATTGGTCTTTTTTTTGGTAACGCACGGTGCCTAGACCACTCAGAAACACAGAAACACTAAATTGAGACACATCGTACAGAGGCGCTCCTGAAACCGAATTTCCAATCCGTTCAAGTAAATTGTTATACAAATCTTGTCACAAAAATTATCATTATTTGTAAGCAAACATTAAATTGGCCTTTTTGTTAGTATCAATGCATAAAAATAGAACAAATTGAAATATGAACGTCTTTCTTTCATCATAGGCCTTATTACATACATACAAACATTATATTTCTTTATTTATTCCTCCTTTTATTTTCTTTAGGAGAATCTCCTAAAGAAGCGAGAGGAGAAAGAAGTACTTTGGCTTATTTTACTTAACTTGTAGGTAAACTTATTAATGAGGTCTCTTGTTTTATTTGAAGCGACCTGTTCTATGGATGTATAGTAGGATGGCATATTGAGCCTTCTGTGAAAACTCGAAAAGTATTCTTTTTGTTTCTTCTATTGTTTTGGTGTCTAAATCTGAGAAAAGCATCGCTCGTTCGATGATATACTTATTACAATAAAATATAAAATGTTCTTCTGTTTCACTGATGTTACAATAATCACAACATTCTGTTTCACTTAAACCCACTTTAGCCTTTTGTTGGTTCAGTTGAAGAACACCCATTCTCAATCTATGTAATATTACTTCACTGTATCTTGATTGATATACATGAATGATTCTCAAATCGTTTTAGAGGTGATTCTATCGTTTCCATCTTTCTTCCCCAATTTCTCGTACTCTTTTACTCAGTATTGATTTCAATTCTTGTACATTAAGATCATTGTTAATTTCTATGTTTTTCTTTAATGCTCTCTTTGCAAAACTATCTACTACTTCATTCCCTACTAGTCCACAGTGAGATGGGATCCATTCTAGTGTTATGTTTATACATCTATAATGAAGATGAGTAATTTTTATCAGTATTTCTACATTAGAAATGTAACTTTAAAAGTGTCTGGAAGCACTGGAGTATTATCAAAATTAAAATTTACCGTTCCCCAAAATGTTCTAACGTTATTATACAACTCGATAGTATTACCCCATTTATCTTACTGCAACATAGTGTGGGGAAATTCATATTCATCTCATCTAAATAAAATGAAAATACTTCAAAAGAGGGCAATTCGAATTTTAACATATTCAATGTATAATTCTCATACGAAACTATTATTTAGCAGAATGAAGGTTCTTCCTGTCCAAGAACTAATATCACTTAATACTTGTATATTTATGTATCATTTCCACACTGGTAATCTTCCACACATTTTTCAAAACATGTTTATTAGTAATTCATCCGTTCATTCACATAACACAAGGCAACAAATGTTATTACACAAACCCCCTGTACGTACAACCCATGCACTGAAATCATTTAGAAATGTGGGAATAAGTAAATGGAATGATTTAAACGAGGATATAAGATCAAGTTCAACTTTGTCTAGGTTTAAAGTTTTGTGCAAAAGGGAACTATTTATTAATTTGTAAAACTGGGTAGGACTATAAGTTTTAATCTCATATTTCGCATTTTTCATGTGTTACCTCTTCTTCCTTTTTCTTTTAAATATTCTGCTCTCTTCTTCTCTCTCTCTCTCTCTCTCTCTCTCTCTCTTATAATAAGCTTTAAAATACATTGTGTGTGTGTGTGTGTGTATGAGTGAGTATGGCTGAGTGTGTTTTCAAGATATTTGTAATTGTTTTGTAATAAGTATGAATATACATGTATCTCTTTTTTTTGTTGCTTCTTGTAGCATGTTTTATTATATTTGTATTTAATTCTATGTTAATGGGCCCCATTTACCAGCTCTGCTTCTCAGGGGTCCATAGCCTGTCATCATGTTATAATTATTGTTCCAGTACCAGTGTCATTGTAAATTGTTTTTAATGATTGGCTGAATAAATTGATATTGAAATTACTACGAAATTTTCTTTTATCTGAGATTCTATTGCATTTAGTGTACTCAGAGAGTCTGAAAGAATAACAATACCAACATAAATATTCAAGTTTTCAATCCAATCTAATGCCATAATAATGGCTACTTGTGCTGCCCTGTATGATGATGTATTCTCTTCTGTTCATGAATTTTCATCGCTGGAACGTAGAAGCCTGCTGCCGCATTGCCTCCCTTAGGGTCTTTAGATCCGTCTGTGTATATATTTATGTAGGTGTATAGTGTTTATTACTTCTAAAGATTTGGCTTTTTGATAGTGTGGGTTGTCATTCTTGCTGATCAATCAGTGGAGATGGTGGGTGGTATGTAATGCCATTGTGGAAATGGTATTGGTCTATTTTCTTCAACCTCATCCGATTCTTGAACTATTTTCTCATTTAGAATTTTAAAACCAAAGGGCTTTTTTACTTTCTCTTTTTTGAGATTTTCATAATGCCAACAGTTGATTGCCAACACCTTTGATGACATGGACTATTAAAGCCGTATATATCTCTATGACTAGAGTACTACTCTATCTATGACTAGAGTACCTATATAGGTACTCTATCTATGACTAAAGCCGATCGCCCTCTTGCGACATTCTTGTTACATTCATATTGTTTTCGAGTCGTATTCGTAGGTGTACGTGTCACGCCTTCTTGATTTGGCTTTTCGGTAAACGTCGACACTTCACCTGCACTTCCCATACTTGATGCGTTTACTGTACTGACATCCCAAAGGTATGTATGATTACATTTTAAACGTCAATTTCAACTATAAAGATACAACTTATTAAAATGTGGCATGTCGTTCTGGTCGTTGAAAATTACACGAGATCTAGACAGAGCTACGATCTACTCTACACTTACTAATATAAGGCGGCACTAACTGCAGGGAGCTCCCACGCCGGTACCGAAGGCGTCCGTCGGAGCTCCAGACTACCTACCCAGAGCTTGATTAAAAAACAAACGATTTAGACAGCGGGTTGGGTCGCATTTTTTTTCGCAATGTAAAGATGTAGTAATTACAATTTTGATTTACAATGTTTTTCTACTCCTCTGGGCATCTTTCCAGCCACTTGAAATTATAATTTGAAGAAGTCTTTGATGGGAAAAAAGGGTGATTCTTCGTCGTAACCCGGTGATTCATCCATGTTAATCACACATAGCCTAGCTGGTGCATTACTATCCTGGCTGTGTATTAAAAGCTGTGCCATTGATTCTTCTTCTTCTTCCTCGGTAAATGCTACTTCATACAACGAAGATTACGCACTGCGAGACAAAACACCACTGTACAAAACTCAACTGATTTCACCTAAAATCGGTACTAGACCCTAGTCTACTGTCTTTAGACTTAGTGACAATTGATGACACCTGAATAGCATGGGTCTAGACCTAGATCTACATGTAGATCTAGATCTACATGTAGATCTAGATCTATACAATTTTTCAACGTTGATGTTGGAAAGAATAATTTAAAAATTCAAATTGTGAGTCTAGACTTTTCTACTGACACTGTCAAACTTCCCAATCAGCCGCATCGGCATGATTGTGTGCATTTGTGTGTTGGGAGTGTATTGACTACATGTATTCATGTATTCAAATGTTGCCTATTAACACGTAGCTAGTGCAGTGCTAGAGGTCAATACGCATTAGCTTTGCTGTACGTGTCTGATTGCGCACCTAAATCTTAAAATCCTTCCCGTAGAGCATGCATGCATGCTGCTGTCTATGTGCATGGCGCGATCATGCAAGGTTGGTCAATGTTTTTACTTAAAAATCGTGATTCAAACCTTTATTTCTTGTGACCCTGAATGTGGTACCCAATAAATGAGGTGCCATATGAAAGATCAGATTAATCTCCATATTTCCAAAGGGGCGTCATCTCAGAATATGTGGTCAAAAGACAAAACAGCAATTTAACTTTAAATGTTGTCTCCATCCTAGGTCTGAAACTTGCCACTTTTTAGAAATGACAAGTAGTCCCAGTTGTAAGGAATATATCCATGCCCTTGTTTTTTTGCTAGCCCCCAGGGATCACAGCACAAGTTATTACAGTTTGGATTGTGGGCTGTGGCCTATTCCGAAGGCATCAGAGCTCCCTGGAGTTGGGTCTACACTTACTCCAGGGAGCTCTGACGCAGATGCTGAAGGCGTCAAAGCTCCAGAGCCCCCTTATGACAAGGATTGAAACAGCGGGTCGGGTCACATTTTTTTTTGCAATGTAAAGAGGTAGTAATTACAATTTTGACTTGCTTTTGCAATGCTTTTTGATTCAGCATCTTCCCAACCACTTGAAATTATAAGTTGAAGAAGTCTTCGATGGGAAAAAGGGTAATTCTTCGTCCTAACCCGGTGGTGCATTCATAAATAATGTCGTTCGTCGATTCAAAATGGGAAAGAGAAAGTACGCATGCGCGGTAGCAGCAAAGCAAATATGAATATTCATGATATAGAGCGCCGTTGGCTTGAATTTGCTGAATATGCATGAATCAAAGAGACAAGGTCCTTCTCAACCTCTTGGATATTCAGAACATATTAACCCCGGCCCTGCACCTCTTGATATTTCAGACCGGAATGCCGCCGTGGACAATGCATGTAAACAAAACTTCCTTTTGGACCAATAAAATTGAATTGAATTGAATTGAAACCAAAGTATCCTTGTTGCACTGAAGCAATCTCCTCTGCTGTTTTCTTTAAAGGCTTTGTTTAACAATTTTAAATCTAAGATGCATGGCCCTACGTGTTATCAGTGTCTGTGATACGGTGCAATATTGAAGCCCTAAAAAAATCGCGCTTCAAAATGATCAAGAAGTGCCTCAAAAAAATAAAAATCTTTGAGTGACCGGTTTTACCATACTCGTTTTCCCCAGACTGTAGTGTTATGAAAACCGTTTGGCAATTGGTTTTTAAAATTTGTAATTCCGATCATAAATATCTTGATAATCAGACAGGCGATCGGCTTGTAAAAGTCATGGTGTTCCTGACTGACCTAAAGGTTTATAATTAAGATTGCAGCATGAGTTAAATCCAGGATTTTGTTTCATAATCTGAGACAAAGTTACCAGATCCCTTTAATGTAAAATACAAATACAACGAATCAATTTTAAGCCCGCGCCCTATCTGGCTAGCATGCAGCATGTTCAACAAAATGTCAACAAACACAGCTGGTTCCGAAAAAGCATGTGTACACTGGAACCTTTTGTTCATTTTCATTGGTGTTGTAACAGTATTTTCTCCCCTGTCTCCTGCTCTTGAGCAGGAGAATCCCTTCGCCTTTTTCTCTTCTTTTCATCGACTATTCTATCGGCTTTTTCTCCTCTGTACTCTTCATAGTGGCCATTTCATTGGATGCTTCCGGATGCATCCAATGAAAGTCAGGCCGGTTTGAAAGGGGTATGATAAAGAGAGAGAGAGAGAGACAGAGACAGAGACACAGGAATGTTGTCCTTTGTGCTCGTGCATGTGATGTAGTACATGTACATCTAGGACTCTATAAAACACATGACTGAGTCAGCTGACTGGACATGGACTTTTGTTCTGAAGGATCAAGTTTAGATCCTTTTTATAGCAGTAAATGTTGGGCAAAAGATAAATAAAGACAAAATAGGCAAGCGCTATATTTATGTGGATGCAGTGATAAACATGCTCCTTTTCCTTCCCTTAGAGATGTGACCTTGTTTGTATTATATCTCATTACCACATTGCCTATATCGTCGGTGGGGTGACAAAACCTCGTATCTCAAAAATCATGAATTTTCAGGAGAGCGAAAAAACCTTTCCTGTCTCAACAGATTCAGTGCTGTGACACCGTCCTTTGTGTGGAATTTGTGAAAAAACCGAGACAGGAGGCATTCCATGGATTTATCAGGTGGTGTCGTAGGCCATTAGGTACACAATTATGCAAAAAAATCAAAATCTCAAAAAATTGAGATACAAGGTTTTGTCACCCCACCGACGATATGTACATGCAGATTGGATAGAGAGAGAGAGCTAGTCAACAGGTTATAATATGGGTGTCTATGTAAAGAGTATACACCTGTGCCCCGGCCCTGTGTACACGTCAGTACACACACATCAATAGCCGTGCTCAAACAATGGTAATGTTGGTCGGCGTAAAGGTAAAATATGGTAAGGTCGGCATACTGCTCGTCTGAACGATAGTCATGTTTATTACGCCGACCTTTACGTCAACCGATTTACTCCTGGGTTCTTCTAGGAGTAACATGCTAAAACTAGAGTTTCTTCTCAATATACATGTAAACACAGCCAAAGCAATATTGGTCCAGAACATATCCAAAATCAAGCTTTAAAGGGATCCCGGACCTTTGTCTCAAATTCTGAAACAAAATCCTGGATTTAGCTCATGCTGCAATGATAATTATAAACCTTTAGGTCAGTCAGGAACCCCATGACTTTTACAAGCTGATTGCCTGTCTGATTATCGAGATATTTATGATCGGAATTACCAATTTTAAAAACCATTTACCAAACGGTTTTCATAACAGTACAGTCTATTGTGGTAAACGAGTATGGTAAAACAGGTCACTCAAAGAATTTTACTCTTTGAGGCACTCAGTCAGACCGCAGCCGGTGCGAAAACCCTCTATTTTACTCAGCACGTATGCAAGAATTTACGTGTCTTGCATACGTAATGAGTAGTGCAGACGGTCTTCCCGATCAGCAATTTTTGCCTTTATAATTGTTCATTTCTCATGAAATGGGTCTCATTTTAAAGATAAGAAGTTGCACTCTCTATATATATGACAATCATGTTAAATATATTTTGGAAACAGATATTTCGCCTTGAAAATGGGGTTTTTCGACTATAAATCTATCTAAAGAGTAGGGCTGATTTTCACATAGAAATCATTCTTGCGTCAAAAAGATGTTATAATCAGCATAAAGCATAAATATTTTTCTTTACAATGATATCAAAATTATTATATTTTACGCTGTACCAAAGTCAGGAACCAAGAAAAATCATGCGAATGTTCATGAATAATTAAAAAAAGTAGTCAACTTTGCCGATGTGATAATAGAGCGTTCTGATTGGCAAAATACGTCAACTACATCACATATGTTCTGCTTTGGTTTATTAACATTCTGAATACCAAATTTGAGTAAGCATTCCTTGTTGTGTATTCCTGTAATGCACGTGCGCACAAGCAGTCATGACAACAGTCTGAAGACCCTGGATCAATTACGTCACCTGCTTTTCAGATAATCTTTTTCTACATTATTTCTCTTTTAATCATTTTTCTTTCTTTTCTCGGCCAGTCGGTGGCGCGGCGGAGCTCCCTGAAGTTATGCATTGCCATTGCTCAGATGGCGAGCGTACATGAGTATCAAATCACACAATTTCGCGCCATCATATAGAAAGAACAAATTGGTAATTTCTGGGTTTTTAGGGTCTTAATTACTATGATTATAAAGAGAACAAGATTTTGCGTCAATTAGGTTTTGACATTATTTTGATCAGTGACTTTTCATCTTTCCAACGAATCTCAAAGTAAACAAATTAATTATGTACCAAAGTCAGGAACCAAAAGCGAAATTCCGGGTACAAAATAGCTGTTGAAATGTTACAAAAATAACGACACTAAAAGTGGTGAAAAAGGATTGTTGCAAAATTGTGAAATATGGCAAGTTTCATATCAAACTGAAGCTGAGAATCTCGAGAGTAATTACCGTTGCGTGCTGCCATGTTGACAGAAGTTATCGACCACAAAAGCAGCTGCATGTACACCCTTACAAATCTCACGGAAAATCTCGTGAATTTCAGCACACCTGAATGTAAGAGATAACCAAAGAGACGCTGAATAAAAATCAGCGTATAGCCTCATTATCGCGCACGCTGCGGTCTGACTGCACTCTTGATCATTGCATCTCAGATTTAACATTGTTAAACGATGCCTTTAATGATAAGCTTTGTAAAAAATCCTTATCATTTCTTATTGTTATATACATTTATTGTATATCATATATTTATTAGACCAAATGGTAATCAAAACAATATTTAAAACTGATTACTAACAAATGTAATAATAGTATAATGGATTTCTCTCTTTCACTCTCTCTCTCTCTTTCTCTCTCATCCTCCTCTAAAACCCTCCAATAGAGCCTTGTCTGTCCACTCAGTTATTGGTGATTTATAGCCTTGCATTTTGTATTTGATTGGCTCTTATATGAAGCGTTCTTGCAATCATTGTATTACAATCATGTATGTGACATGTGAACTGTAGTCTTTTCTGTAGTTTTGGTAAAGATTGGATCTGAGTGTTTTAATAGGCTAAGACGAATGGATTGATTACCAGTAGAAATATAATTCTTAATTGTGAGCATTGAATCAGAGTAAGTGTACAGGTACAGGTATGTCAAAGTATAAACATGTACAGTAGACCCGCATAAATTATCTTTAGTCCCCTGCTTAGACTAGTGTGAGCTAATTAGACTAGTACATGTTGATTACACAGGATATTACACTGTAACTAAGTGGGTACCATTCTATTGTTCACATGGGATATTGAGTGGGTACCATGCTAGTGGTCGTTAGATGGTTATTTCCTGGAATTAGTACCCTGAGCTTTAAGTAGGCATTCCAGTATCATAACATACATGTACACTAGCAGGACCCGCGGAAATCCGCGGGATTCTAGAGGGGGGCGGGGGGTGTAAATAGATATATAGAGAGTGTTTAAATTAAAACCACCAAGAACTTTATTTGCCATTCAGGCCATTAAATAAAATATACATGTTTAGCGTCCCCGCCCGCTTCCTTTTTGGGGGCCGCCTCCTATTTATTTATTTTTTGAAATTTTTTTGATTTTTGTTGTTGTTTTTTTGTCGTTTTTTTTAAAGAAAATAAAACAGTGTCCTGTCCGTTTCCTTTTTGGGGGCCGCCTCCTATTTTTTTTTTTTTTTAGTTTTTGAAAGAAAAAAAACATGAAAAGCACTGCTAAAATTATTTCTGATATTAAAAAAGAAAAAAAAAAAATTGTCGGCCGCCATCTTGAAAAAAAGCCCGAATGTCAGGGAAAATGTATGGAGCGGCCATTTTGAAAGAAGAAAAAAAAAAAGGGCCTCCTCATTCCCATTTTTCGAAAAAAACAGGACGCTAAACATGTTTTTTTTTAAATCTGGCCTTATATAAAAATTAAAAAAACGATCCAACTGTACCGGTAGTTATTCTTCAAGCCACTGGAACTGCGTAGAGTTCCGTAGTGTGGCGTACCGACTACGCAGAAATTAGGCTACGTATTAATGAGAAAATAGTCCCTGCGTAGGTTATGCGTAGGCTGGCGTACAGGTTTGCTTATGGTTGCTTACTGTGTGGAAAGCTTTTACTGCTTTGTCGATCTGGCGTAGGGTAGCATACTGTTGCGTAGGCATGTAGCGTAGTGTTGCGTATGTAAAAAGGCGTACTTTCTACGTCAAGTTTCTACGCCGAAAGTACGCGAAAAAAATTAAACATGTTGAATTGTTTTCGTTCATCTTGCGTACCCAGTTCCGTCCCTCAGCATATAGTAATGTAGGCCAGCGTAGTTGGTACGCAACACTATGCAACTCTACGTATTGACCCCACGCCAATTAGTGACCCGCAAGTGTCACAAATAAAGTATTAAAAATATGCTCATCTGACCCTAATTAAACGCCTAAAACCCCTGAGCTTTCGGGGGTTTATGGACCCTTGAAACCCGTGGACCCCACGCCTATACACTCAACTCGCTGCAATCTGATCTCTCCCCCCCCCCCCCCCCACCAACTTTGAAGAACGTAACCCCTGAGCTTTTTGGGGTTTATGGCCCCTTGAAACCCGGGGACCCCACGCCTATATTATATATACACTCAACTCAGGACCCGCGGAAATCGCGGGATTCTAGAGGGGGGCGCAGGCAGAAAATTAAGATTTTCATTTCGGGGGCTCTATTTCAAATTTTTGGAAAAATTTTCGTGGGCTACTTTTTTCAACTTTCGGGGGCTCTTTTTTCTGGGGTTACTTTTTCATTAATTCATCAAAGGATATAGGCCTTCACTTTGTTGAGATTTGTTTAGAAGGCTCAGGTTTCAGGCTACCTACTTCATAATTGCCTATTTAAAAAAAAAAAAAAAATTCTAGTTCAATAACTAAGTTTTCATGCATTGATTTGATGCAAGAACTGTAACATAATATACCCTAGATTGTGATTATTTCTGACCATGAATTTCGATAATCATTCTTCAAAGTAAAATTTTCACAAGAAAATCAGGTAGTCGTTTAAAAACGTAGACATGAGTAATACTTTTACTAATTCTAAGCTCAGGTTTCGTAAATCTATTCACGAAACTATATTGAAATCGCGGCAATAATGATGCAAACCAACAGATAACAATTTCAAAGTGTCAAATCTCTTCGACTCGAGCTCAGCTCAGCTTAACTCACACACACTACAGCGTAACTCCATAGCTCGAACACCGGCGCCGCAGGCGTCGGACGCCTGCGGTGCTCGGTGCCGGTGTTGGAGCTTCCTGCAAGCTCGTCTCAACTCACACACACTGAACAGAAGCCCTGCACTGTATGAAGGCAGCTTGCGACTAAACTGTCAGTCCAATGGTTTTCTTGTGAAAACTTTCCTTTAGAAAATGATAATAAAAATTTAGTATAGGTCTAGACTATATGGCCGTAGTAATCACAAAATAAGCTTTGATTTCATACCTCCATTCACGAAAACTATATCAAAATCGCGGCAATCATGATGGAAATGGGTCTCTAAGTTTGGACGTGGACGGGATCGAAGCTTCGTGTGTATTTCTGCGGCTTGTGCAGCTACTACAAAGGATATCCTATACAAAGATGCTTTACTCGGGTAAGCCCGACCGTGTGCATCGTGCATTTAATACGCAACTTAATGTGAGTTGCTCGTCGTCTGTCGTGTGTCTACGGATGTCATGTTGAATATCCATGAGGTATCTCTGTCGTCACGCATATCCTGCATTATGCATGTCGCGTCTGTTTTCGCCCTGGACGTCGACACGGAGGAGGACCTCGGGCGGAGTATAGCCAATTCGCTAGAGTAGACTCTCCCGCGGACGACGGCACCGGGCACGGGTACCCCGAGGGGAGGGTTCAGGAGGAGATAGCCGCACCAACTTCGGTCGGCGATCTCATTAAAAAACAATAGAATACAAAGGCCGGCGGAGACGTCATGCCCCCCCCGCGGAGCCTTAGCGTATTACTATTATAGATGTACAGTAATTCTGATCTACCGGTATTCATTATGATCAAAGATCATTCGATGTCAGGCTTGATACAGTTGTCTTATAATACAAATTAAAGATAATAACAATGGTTTATTTCAATTCAAGAGATTCAATATAAGAGTCATCTTCAACATTATTGGAAAATATGGCAAGGAAAATAAGTAAGTTTGCCACAGTACATAACTGACAAAGCGATAACTGACAGAAAATATGATATAGAATGTATAAGATCAGTTGCTTCCTGGTTTACAAAGTGATGAGCAAGACATTTATAATTATTAAGATGCAATAATATATGTCATGAACAACAATACATAAAAGCAATTACCTAACATAAGTGCTTAAATATATATATATCAATATAAAACATCATGTGAAGAGATAAAGGCAAATATGGTTTTCATAAAGAATATTCAAAAGGTAGAGGAGTGGAAGATATGGTTGCATTTATAAAACCAGTGATTTGAGAAATAACATTTATAACTTCCAGAGATACGCAACTATCACACACAAAGAAAGAGACCAATGATCACATTTCATTTATAAGTAAGAACCCTTACAATAAATGGAATTGGGCTAGCCACTACATCGATACCTTTCAGTCCTGCATCTTATAGCGTAGAATTTGCTTCGGTTTCTGAGTTGCCTAGTTTGATTTGGCAGGGCTTGGGGCAGCCAGTTTGATTTGGCAGGGCTTGGGGCAGCCAGTTTCATTTGGCAGGGCTTGGGGCAGCCAGTTTTTTTTAACTCGGGGGATAGCATTAGACCTTTATTGAATATGATACAACTATCAGAACTATCTTCAAGAGTTTGGGATTGCGTGACATGTAGGGGCATTATTGTACATTGGGTACTCAGAGCTTAAAATGAGTCTGAACCCTTTCTATCAGGGATATTTGTCTAGATGGGTGATGCCCGTCAGGTACGGCATACTCTACCAATGGTCTTCGTATGTTTAATCAGCTGCTCTGTGTGCAGTGCTATCTGTGCAGAGCCCTCCGTCCAGTGCTCTCCGTCCAGTGCTCTCCTTCTGATGCTCTCCTTCTGATGCTCTCCTTCTGATGCTCTCCTTCTGATGCTCTCCTTCTGATGCACTCCTTCTGATGCTCTCCTTCTGATGCTCTCCTTCTGATGCTCTCCTTCTGATGCTCTCCTGATGCTCTCCTTCTGATGCTCTCCTTCTGGTGCTCTCCTTCTGATGCTCTCCTTCTGATGCTCTCCTTCTGATGCTCTGCTTCTGATGCTCTGCTTCTGATGCTCTGCTTCTGATGCTCTCCTTCTGATGCTCTCCTTCCGATGCTCTCCTTCTGATGCTCTCCTTCTGATGCTCTCCTTCTGGTGCTCTCCTTCTGATGCTCTCCTTCTGATGCTCTCCTTCTGATGCTCTGCTTCTGATGCTCTCCTTCTGATGCTCTCCTTCCGATGCTCTCCTTCTGATGCTCTCCTTCTGGTGTTCTCCTTCTGGTGCTCTCCTTCTGATGCTCTCCTTCTGGTGCTCTCCTTCTGATGCTCTCCTTCTGATGCTCTCCTTCTGATGCTCTCCTTCTGATGCTCTCCTGATGCTCTCCTTCTGATGCTCTGCTTCTGATGCTCTGCTTCTGATGCTCTCCTTCTGATGCTCTCCTTCCGATGCTCTCCTTCTGGTGCTCTCCTTCTGATGCTCTCCTTCTGATGCTCTGCTTCTGATGCTCTCCTTCTGATGCTCTCCTTCTGATGCTCTCCTTCTGATGCTCTGCCTGCAGTGCACTCTATGTTGAACAGGCCTCATTGTGTGCTGCCTCCTGAAGGAGAGAAGGAAGAGATGAAACTAATCTGTTTCACAGTTGACTGATTATTAAAAAAACAAGCAATTGACTCATGGATGTACAATTCTATTCTAATCTGTTTTATTCATTCTCTTTACAGATACAAACAATCTAATCATGGATATAACCACTCTACGTAACAAACTCTCTCAGCTTGGTCAAGAACATCTTCTAGAATTCTGGGACGACCCTGAGCTTACAGATGACCTCCGAAGGTCTCTTTACGATGACATCACAAGCACTAACATAGAAGAGGTTCTGAAGTTCTTTGAGACGTCTTCTTCTAACCTGAATAACACAGAGAAGGTGGATGAGCGTATGGAACCAATCCCATCAGAACTCTTTGGCTCTGTTACAAGGTCCGGAAAGAACTTAGATCGATGGTACAAAGATGGTAAGCTAATTCAATCCAATCCAAAAGATATTTGATATAGCGCCTTTTCCTTGCAGTTACAAAGCGCTGCACATACACTCCACAATGTTTGGGCCAATTTTTCATCAACACTGATTCTCGCTCATTTTAAGCCAAGCCACTGCTCATCACACTGTGCAGTTTGACCCAGGAAGTATAGGTCAACTTCGCTGCATGCTTTTTGTCTGTGTTTACGGTCGACTGTCGGTCAAACCTGCAGCAGGCCACAATAATGATGTCAAAGAATCATGATTGAGATCTCCATTCGTTCAAGCGACTTTAAGCAACCCAAAACGCATCTGTTTTAGCGTTTCATGTTTGTGTTTTAAACACGTTTATTTTTATGACCGACAAAAAAATCGCTTTAATGCGATTATGTTTTAAACTAAGCTTCTTTGAAAACTGTGATTCTAGGGTGAAAAAGTGTTGATTGAACGCACCCAAGGTCTACAATAAAATAATTCTTTTTCCTCCCTCTTTCTCCAAGGTTTAAAACAGATCTCCCAGGGAAAGGTTGGTGTACTTCTATTGGCCGGAGGTCAAGGTACGCGTCTAGGGGTCAAGTATCCTAAAGGGATGTACAACGTAGGTCTGCCTTCAGAGAAGACTCTCTATCAGCTACAAGCAGAACGGATCCTAAAAGCACAGGAGCTAGCCCTAGAGCTGACAGGAGAGAAAGGTGTTATACCATGGTATGATAACACTCATAGAGTACCCAAGTGTGACGTCATATTCGCTCGTCGTCTCGGTTACTGGTTCCAAACAACAGAGCATACGCATGAGGTTCACCACCACATCATTCGAGCAATGTGTTGGAGCAGGGCAAATAAATAATAAATAATAAATTTTATTTCTATAGCGCATTATACAAGGTATGTCTCTATGCGCTTTACATCGTATTACAAGCTTAATTAATTACATGCATCTACTATTGAACAATCCTCAAACAAAAATTCTGACAAGATCTTGCGCTGGTGTGATCACAACGCCATTGTTTGGAACCAGCAACCTTGACAATGAGGGTAATATGACGTCACACTTCAGTACTCTATGGTCTTCTCATAGCTTTGGGATAAGGGGGTGGGATGTTTGGTGATTGGACAATATACTCTGAAGCTTAACTTAGTACGTGCTATCAGAATACCACCCCTTATTATCTTGCAGGTATATGATGACCAGTGAGCACACCAAGGAACCTACTAGAGAGTTCTTCAAGCAACATGATTATTTTGGTATTGGTGAAGAAGATCTAGTACTCTTTGAGCAGGACATGCTTCCATGTGTGTCCTTTGAGGGAAAGATCATCCTGGATCAGAAGAATAAGATCTCAAGAGCACCAGGTAAGTCTTTCATTTTTTATTTTTTTTTATCTGAATATCTTTTTTTAGGATAAGCAGGATAAGCATGATCAGCAAAGCTGTTTTTTCTTCATGGTCTTGATTGAATACAATAAAAGTACACCACAATGAGTGGCCGAGATCATAGGGGGGGGGGGGCCTCCGAGACTTTACTTTTCATATTTGGGTTATCCAATCAAATCATTAAAATATTTCAACACTTTATAAATATATAAATAAGCTTATTCTCTGATTCTCTCTGATTAGATGGTAATGGAGGTCTCTACCGGGCCTTAGGGAACTGTAAGATCTTAGCTGATATGGAGAGACGAGGAGTCCAGTATGTTCATGTCTACTGTGTAGATAACATCCTTGTCAAGATGGCTGATCCTACATTCATCGGATTCTGCATTGATAAAGGGGCAAACTGCGGAGCTAAGGTTAGTACAGGAACTTACCATAGTTAAAGTGAGGAACCTCAAGTTGTTACCATGGCGATACTATATGATTGCAGGGCCCTCATGGAGAATAGTATTATTACTGAAGAGGCTAACCTATGTAAAGTAAAGTTCTTCTTCTCCCTTTACTTCTTCTTCTCCTTCTCCTTCTCCTTCTCCTTCTTCTTCTTCTCCTTCTCCTTCTTCTTCTTTTTCTTATTCTCCTTCTTCTTCTTCTTCTTCTTCTTCTTCCACTTCTTTGTTGTTTTTTCTCCTTCTCCTTCTTCTTCTTCTCCTTCGTCTTCTTCTTCTTCTTCTTCTCCTTCTTCTTCTTCTCCTTCTTCTTCTCCTTCTCCTTCTTCTCCTTCTCCTTCTTCTTCTTCTCCTTCTCCTTCTTCTTCTTCTCCTTCTTCTATATGTTTTTCCATCTGTAATCAGGTCTGGAGTTTAATACTGAATAAAGTGATTTTGTTGTATCCACTCATCACTCTCATAACCTTCAGCAATATCTCAGCAATATATTTATAATACATTACTAATGTATTTGCTATGTTGTGGAGAATGATGTAACTCTCAGCAATATGTTTATAATAGTGTGTTTCTGTGTGTGTATTTGTTCAGGTTGTAGAGAAGGCGTACCCTACGGAGCCAGTGGGGGTTGTATGCAGAGTAGATGGTCACTATCAGGTGGTAGAGTACAGTGAGATCACCCTCCCAACGGCTGAGAAGAGGAGTGAGGATGGTAGACTCACGTTCAGTGCTGGCAACATCTGTAATCATTTCTTCACAACGGAATTCCTCAAGTCAGTTGTGAAGTAAGTTTGTAGACCACTCTCATGTCATTAGCTATCTAGGGGGGTGTTTCACAAAGACTAAGATCAACTCAAGTCTGTGGTCAAGTAAGTTTGTAGACCACTCTCATGTCATTAACTATCTAGGGGGTGTTTCACAAAGACTAAGATCAACTCAAGTGAACTATGGCAGGCCATTCATGCCTCTAGTTGCTCTCACCATTCCTGGCATTGGTCTCTCAAGGGACATAAACTCTAGTTTACAATGTATGTAACTTTTTTTTTCAACAATAAATTATCAAAAATGTAAATTGTGTAGATTTGTGACGTCCCTTGAGAGACAGATCAATGGTGAGAGCAACCAGTGGCATGAATGGCCTGCCATAGTTCACGTCCAGCTTAAGTTGATCTTAGTCTTTGTGAAACACCCCCCAAGGTCTATCAATGCTGCACCTGTATGGATAAGAAAGATCAAGGTCAAGAAGGATGGGATTTACATTGAAACATTGCAGGATGGTTTGACTTAGAAGTGTTTTTTAAGTGTACTCAGATAACAAACTTTTGCAACTTTGATAGAATAAATGGTTGAAATTCTCTTCTTTCTCTTTTTCAATTTGTCATGTATTCGCTTCCCTTGCTAATCCACATAATTCAGTTGCCAGCCCTGGATGCTACTATGACTGCAAGGCCATGGCCGTGGATGCCCCTTTGATTGGCCTCAATGCCCCTCTCATTGGCCTTGGAGATTTTGTGTGCCCTTTCCAATTCTTCCTATTTGTGCTGTAATATAGGAATGTGCCCTACAGAAAAGTGGCCTTGCCCTAAAAATATTGAAATTTAAGGTCTGAGACTTATGTTTGTTATTGTTAGAAGATACATATAAAGTGAGACCTGTCTATAAAGACCACCAAAGGGACACATGAAAGTGCTCTTTATAGGCAGGTGGTCTTTATGTATAGGTTCCTTTAGTACATGTTTCAATGAGAATTTTTTTTCAAGGGAAACATAAAATGTGGTCTTTGTAGACAGGTGGTCACTAAAACAGGTTTTACTGTATATATTTAGGGGATCTTGCTGTGCAGTGGTTTCCACTCTCATTTAACAACCATAAAAACAGTGCAGAGTGAAACTTTTTGTAGCTTCATGGTTTGAATAAATATATCACTTGAGTATTTGAATAAGGGTTAATACTAATTGGATGAGTTCACACACATTTGTTTCTTCTCTTCTGTTTCAGTGAAAATGAATCCAGATTGCAGCATCATGTAGCTCAGAAGAAGATTCCATTTATTGACGGGGAGGGCAAACGCATCCTACCAGAGAAACCTAATGGCATAAAGATGGAGAAGTTTGTCTTTGATGTCTTCAGGTTTTCAAAGTAATATTTCATTTGTTTTTATGAACTCATTACTTACAAGAAGCATTTGGACCATTGTTTTCAGAGGTCAACTGGGGGTTAAAAGTGTGTTGAACCCAATCACATGAACTAAAGAACCAGGCAACAACAACAACAATAAAAATAAAATTGAAAAAATTAAGAAAAAAAACATCAGCAACCGTTAATATTACAGATATTACCTGTGTGGTAAATAATTTATCAAAGAGAGAAGATATTGAACTCATTGTGTGAGATAATGGACAACAAATCCTTTGTTTATTACTTAATTCACACTGCCAAGGTGCTAACATGTTATGAATCAGATTGTTGTTGCTTGTAATGAAGAGAAGAGAATAACTTAAAAGGCTTCGTTAAACCAAATTCAATGTGAGCACTGCCCTATGTGTTATCAGTGTCTGTGAAATGGTTTAATATTGAAGCCCTAAAAAAATTGTGCTTCAAAATAATCAAGAAGTGCCTCAAAAAAGTAAATATCTTTGAGTGACCGGTTTTACAATACTCGTTTTCCTCAATAGACTGTAGTGTTATGAAAACCGTTAGGAAAACACAAATTGGGTTACGATTTCCAATCATTAATATCTTGATAATCAGACAGGCGATCGGCTTGGAAAAGTCATGGGGTTCCTGATTGACCTAAAGGTTTATGATTATGATTGCAGCACTTTCACTTTCCTGTTTGCTGTTTTCTTTTTTCCAGTAACTTTGCGGTGTTTGAGGTGCTCCGGGAAGATGAGTTCTCACCACTCAAGAACAGCACGAAATCAGAGAAGGACAACCCTACCACAGCAAAGCATGCACTCATGTCATTACATCATAGATGGGTCTTAAACGCCGGCGGTAACTTCATTGATTCAGACGGTACATCTATACCAGCTATACCCAGGTAACTATATCATTCAAACATTGTAGGATGGGTCTTAAACGCAGGTGGTAACTTCATTGATTCAGACGGTACATAAATACCAGCTATACCCAGGTAACTATATCATTCAAACATTGCTAGACGGGTCTTAAACGCAGGTGGTAACTTCATTGATTCAGACGGTACATCAATACCAGCTATACCCAGGTAACTATATCATTCAAACATTGCTAGATGGGTCTTAAACGCCGGCGGTAACTTCCTTGATACAGACGGTACGTCTATACCAGCTATACCCAGGTACATTGCTAAACTAGATCTGGTGCAGGTGCATTGGTTTTAAGAAGCATGGACTCTCAAAGGTGGAGCTGTATATCTTCTCACATTCATGACAAAAGTTTAATTTCAATAATAATTTTTTAATTCCTGCAGACTGGGTGGAATTAGTCAATTTCCTCATCCTGTGGAAATTAGAAAAGAATGAAGGAAATAGATTATTTCTTCACCAAAGGAACATGATCAAGTAGTTGATGAATGTGCCATAATATACTATATACTGCTATGAGTAATGACTGGACAAAGCTAAAGAAGTATTTTGGGCAAGTAAGTGGCTTCCATGTCTGTCTCCATCAAGTAGAAGATATTACCAATGTTGAGATGATTGAGGTTCAGGGGGGTGTTTCACAAAGATCCTAAGTTGAACTTAACAATTATGGAAAGCCATTAGCATCTATGAAAATATTTTGTAAAAGTTATTTTTAAAGGCATAAAATGTTGATTCAAATCATTCATATTTTCTATTATCAAGGAGATTTCACGTTCTTGCTGTGGAATGTATAAAAAGTCTAACATACTTGATTTTTCGCTTTTGAATATATTTTATTTTAAGGCTACAAATGGCTCTCCAAATTTTTAAGTCCAACTTAGAGTTAAGTTTGACTTAGGATCTTTGTGAAACACGCCCAGGGATGGTAGAAGTAGGGGACTTATGTATTGACATAACATGCAGACAAATAGGAGGACAAATATCTAGATAAATAAAGCAGTTCAATGCTTGAAATTGATAATGCTTTGGCAAATAAGTGAGTTTGTATTTGTGCCTGCCAGGTGGTGAAAGGGTTGCTATAGAAAAACGCTTATGTCATCCGTATTGATGCTTTTTTTTCATGCTGCTTTAAAAAAACTTGAACTAAAGTGAACCATGTTTCATTTTTGTCTTTTATGAACACAGCTATGAAGGATACATATACTCACATACTCTTTGAATTATTACTTTCCCATGTGCATGTAAATAATATGGGGGGGGGGGGTGTTTCACAAAGATCCTTAGTTCTTATATCAAAGTTAGACCTAAATATTATGGAGAGCCATTTGTAGCCTTATTTTGAAATATATTCATAAGAAAAAATTCAAATATTTTAGACTTTTCATAAATTCCACATCAAGAACATGAAATCTCCAATGATAATAGCAAATATGAATGATTTGAATCAACATTTTATGCCTTTTAAAATAACTTTTACTCAATATTTTCAAGGATGTTAACGGATTTCAATAACTGTTAAGTCCAACCTAGAGATAAGGTCAACTTAGGATCTTTGTGAAATGCCTCCCTGGGCTCCTTTCCTGCCCCCTCACCTAAGCATTAATACATGCATCCATGCATACTGTGCCCTTCTATGAGAATATGATGTTTTTCAATGGAGGAGGATTTTAAATATTTCCATGTACAATACTGGCCTTCAGAATGGATTTTCAAGTCTAATGTAATAATCACTGGAAAAGTAAGTTTTAATCTTTCTATCATGTTACATATACATGTTGACGTAAATCAATTGTCATGAATATTCATCTTTTGATGAATCAAATTAAAATCAAAACCTAAGTCCAATGGGAGACAGGTATGCTCTTTACAAGACAAGATTTCATCACCATCACCATACCAGTAACTACCCCCGCCCCGCCCCCCTTGAAAAATAAAGAGATGACAAGAAAGAAAAGGAAATGTTGGTAGATATGAAGGTAGATAGAAGTGATGTGAGATGCTATAGCAATGTTTTTATTACCAAAATTCCAGGAAAGATCAATGTTCCCTTTTGCGTTCCTTGTAATCCACATCAGTACGGCTAGAGCTCCTGGTAGTCATTACGCAATCAAATGCCTGTATAAGACAACACCTGATCAGCCTTCTGAACAGAAAACAGAAGTTTAGAGTAGAATGTGAAAAGGATTATCCGGATACCCATGATCTTTGTCAAAGCTTATTAGAATCCAAATGCATCATGGGAAGCTAAGGTGCGACCATCTTTACAGGGCAGTTGCACTCTGGGACAACCCTTTCTAATACGTACCCTTATCAGTGCAGTATATTATTTTGAATGTGTTTTTGTGCATAGTTTTTTATGTGGGGTTTAGTGATTTGGCAGCTGTAGGTACTCTGATATTGGGTTGTTGTATATTAATAGTCTGACTAATAGACAATATTTTTGACTTGTTCATTGGTTTCTGTCCAATGGCTGTATGTAAACAGGTCCTCCCGTGTTATTGAAGATCAACTGAATGCTAAGTATGTTCTAATCCTTCAACATGGCTTTCCATATCATCATATATATATATATATATATATCTATTGCTAGATGAGTGTATTGGTAGACAAATTGTTATGATTTAACAAATCATCTTCAGTACGAAATGTTAGTACAGTCAAACCCTGCTTTAGTGACCACCTGTCTCCAAAGATCAAATTTGTTCTTACCCTTGAAAATGGTTTCTAATTGAAACATGTAGTAAAGGTACTTGTTTACAAAGACCACCTGTCTCCAAAGACCACTTTTTGTGTTTCCCTTGGGTGGTGGCTATATAAAGGTTTGACTGTATTAGCCAGAAGATCAGAAGGAAAAAAAAGAAAAGAAAGAAAAAAGAAAGGAAGAAGGGTGATCTGTTTGGCTAGAGTGAAAGGTATGTCATTGAAAATACCATGGATTAATCATAACAATTTGTCTTGCTTTATGACTCGAGAGTTCTTCAGTAGTCTCCTCTTCTGAAATAGCCTGGGCAAGCTTCTTACGAGCAGGGATCATCATTTAGAGTCTCTAAAGTCTTGGTCTCTATCCTTTCATACCTTTAGCCTGGGCAAGCTTCTTACAAGCAGGGTTCATCATTTAGAGTCTCTATCCTAATTAGCCTGGGCAAGCTTCTTACAAGCAGGGTTCATCATTTAGAGTCTCTATCCTAATTAGCCTGGGCAAGCTTCTTACAAGCAGGGTTCATCATTTAGAGTCTCTATCCTAATTAGCCTGGGCAAGCTTCTTACAAGCAGGAATCATCATTTAGAGTCTCTATCCTAATTAGCCTGGGCAAGCTTCTTACGAGCAGGGTTCATCATTTAGAGTCTCTATCCTAATTAGCCTGGGCAAGCTTCTTACAAGCAGGAATCATCATTTAGAGTCTCTATCCTAATTAGCCTGGGCAAGCTTCTTACGAGCAGGGTTCATCATTTAGAGTCTCTATCCTAATTAGCCTGGGCAAGCTTCTTACAAGCAGGGTTCATCATTTAGAGTCTCTATCCTAATTAGCCTGGGCAAGCTTCTTACAAGCAGGGATCATCATTTAGAGTCTCTATCCTAATTAGCCTGGGCAAGCTTCTTACAAGCAGGGATCATCATTTAGAGTCTCTATCCTAATTAGCCTGGGCAAGCTTCTTACAAGCAGGGATCATCATTTAGAGTCTCTATCCTAATTAGCCTGGGCAAGCTTCTTACAAGCAGGGATCATCATTTAGAGTCTCTATCCTGATTAGCCTGGGCAAGCTTCTTACAAGCAGGGATCATCATTTAGAATCTCTATCCTAATTAGCCTGGGCAAGCTTCTTACAAGCAGGGATCATCATTTAGAGTCTCTATCCTAATTAGCCTGGGCAAGCTTCTTACAAGCAGGGATCATCATTTAGAGTCTCTATCCTAATTAGCCTGGGCAAGCTTCTTACAAGCAGGGATCATCATTTAGAGTCTCTATCCTAATTAGCCTGGGCAAGCTTCTTACGAGCAGGGATCATCATTTAGAGTCTCTATCCTAATTAGCCTGGGCAAGCTTCTTACAAGCAGGAATCATCATTTAGAGCAGGCCTTCTCAACTAGTTTATTAAAAGTGCCAAAACGAAAACAATTTGTAGTTAAAGTTCCACCCTGTATGGTTGACTGTGCTGCGAGGGAGCGTAGCGACCGAGCCAAAAATGGGTGGGGTCCAGGGGCGAAGCCCTAATGGGGGTAGCGGGGGGCAGAGCCCCCTGCTGCAGCTGGTGGATTTAGGGCTTTCTTAAGGCCCAAATGGGCCTTTTTTAACACCATTTCATTCCACAATATAATCAATCATAATTTCATATTGATGTGAAAAACTTAGTACATTTCCTGGGTACAATTACACTGGAGGTATATTTATATGTAGTTTTTTGTGTGCAATAAACACGGGAAATGTCAAAATAAAGTGAAAATCAAACAAACAAAAACAAGATGTTTCCAGAAATTGGCAATGTTAATATTGGTAGCCCATCGTAAACTACTTGTTGTTCAGACCTTAGGTTTAGATTTGTATAAAATGGTAAAAACAACAAATTCCCCTTTCTGTATGTTTGTTAAGCAGGCATTTCGGGCTCAAATTCGACTGCAACTTCTTGATTTAGCCGAGTATTTAATTCTAACATTTTCTTTCTTTCTTTATGTTTTTTTGTTCTGTTGTTGCAACAGTCGCGCGCCACTCCCACTGACTACAAGCGCCACAAGTGGCGCGCGCGCCGCCAGTTGAGAAGGCCTGATTTAGAGTCTCCATCCTTTCATACCTTTCTTTCGTTCTTCATGGGTGAAGGTTTTCAGACTATCCTTGCAAGCTAAATGCTTTAAAATCAAGTAGCTGGGTAATGCGGGATCAAATGTAATTAATAAGCGGTTTGCCTGCTGTGTTTAGCCTGTATATTTTCATTAGGTTTGTAGATTGGTGACCAAATGACGATTACTAATGAGAATTACACAGTATGCTTACGGTTGCACCATGTGAGAAGGGGGGGGGATTGGGGGGTCCTGAAAAGGACTGTCCAAAATCTTTCTTTCTTGAGTGTGTATAGTCCTGAGAAGAACTGTTGGTAATCGTTCTTGAGCTTATAGTTCTAAAGAGAACTATTAATAGCACTGGTAGGAGAGGATGGGTGGTAGGAGTGACTCCACATTTTTGGAGATTGCGTTGTAGCCGCTTGAAATTTTAAATTGATTCATTACTTTTTCCCCTCAAGTCTTAAGCACATTTTGGTACCATTTTGTACTAAGGTGTTACTTCACAATTAGTATGCGCATGTCCTCAAAAAGTTTTATAATTGCATATGTTCATGTACAAGAAGAAATGTGAATACGAGTTTAGATGTATTTTTTCATAAGTGGGAGATATTATTCGCTCACGTGTTAGGGCAGTTCCAGTGCACTCAATTTAGTCAGTGCGATATCGTTAACCCTGTGCTTACACACTCGCAACAGGGCATTATTTGTTTTTCTAAGACGGATTGGCAATACATTCTTACAATATAGTCTAAATCTAGAGTATATATAGATAGATCTAACTAGATCTAGATATTGAAAGTTATGCACAAATTAAATTTGGCTAAATCATGCATGCGTTATCAAAAATCTAATGCACGCCCACATGATGTCAATTGACCAATCGGATTGCCTAGATTCTAGAACCTGTCTTATAAGAATGATATCAAATTGCTTTGATATGTTTCTCAAAGTAACTTGATGTATTTCAAAACAAAAGAATGCATTAGAAATGAAACGATAGATATAAGGCCTAAATAAAAAGATGTTGTATTGCCCTTTGCGACCGACCCCAAAATCTTGAAATCTACGGTCAGCTTAAAAAAAAAAATGTATTAAAGCATTTAAAACTGAGTACTATCAGCCCAAAGAGGGAGTAAAAAAAAAGAAAAGATTTTCGACCAACCGACCCATGTTTTGGCACCTAAAGGGCAATACGACATCCTTTTTTTTTAGGCCCAATAAGAAATTACAGATAATAAAATACATAAGAAAATAAAAATAATGAAATTTGCGTATTCATAATTTATGCAAATTAGCATTTGCATTTTTAAATATCATAAAAATAATGCAACTTCGTGAACTTGAAATGTAGGAAACATTTATTCAATACATTTTTCAGATTCTTTACAAGTATAGAGACAAATATGTCTTCTCTAAAATGCATTAAATTTACCTTTGCATAAATGAACACATTCCCCAGGATTGTCAAATATACAGCCCTGTCACCTAAATCATTTAATGCTTTTACTTTATTTAAAAAATAACAACCCGACTCTTTGTTCAACTCTAATATGATGAGAGTTCAGATCTTAAAGATCCAAATTTAAATGCAACATATAGATATAGCCTCATCTAAATACATGCCTCTCAGAATATTTAACATACTCCTTTCCACTATGGTCTTTGTTCAAGTCTGCAATGCTGCAACACAAAGGGTGCGTTTATAGTCCATTTTTTTGCCTAGAATCAGCGTTTTTAAACGTCTTTCAGGCAAATTTTTAAGGTGAACAACGCAAAGCCTTTTTCAAACGTCTTTAGATATGGGTATATTGAAATGCCAAGGAAAGTACGTTTTGAATGTGACATAGAGCCAGAATCACGTTTCTGAGAGATGATAAACGCAAAGCTGTTTTGAACCCCACATACAAATCGGACCTTCCCAGGCTAATTTCAGGTTCAGAGAAATAGCGCGTGCCATGTGCTGTGTCATGTTGTTGTACAAGCGTGTGTGTGTACTTGTTCCAGTTGACCTGCGCAAAGGAGCTGCATAGAGACAAGGCCTTTATATTGAATTGTGAAGAGACGATGAACACGCAACATCCCGCAAATCATATTCATATAGTGGGGTTTGTGTATAGAAATGCTGATTCTGAGTGGCAAGTCACGATAAACGCACCCTTAGATGTTAGAGTCAAGAGAAGAACACTGGTCCACTTTTCATATTAGAATAATAATAATTTGAATTTATTTAGCGCTTGATACAGAATACAGTCTCTAAACGCTTTGCAGATATTATTGCCCTGGTCATTGGATTCATTCACGCACAATGTGTACCATCTCCACTCCCTGGGGAGCATTCCTGTTATATGGTCACTGTGAGGGGCATATGCAATTACTTATACAATTGCTTTCGTCATCCTACCAGGCCCCTATTCCTCTCTTGGGTATTGAGTGGCAAGGGTAGATCAATGCCTTGCCTGAGGATATTAGTGCCATGTGGGGGATCGAACCCACGACCTTTGAATTTCAAGTCTAGTGCTTAAACCACTCAACTTCGACATTGTGTTAATTTGTAATGTTCCGTGTTCAACTTAATCACACTGCTAGATGAGATCTACAGGTCAAAGGTCACATCATTGTCAATGACTCCTATTGCACAACCCTCCTCCCATCACACTGTGTCTGTAATGTTCCGTGTTCAACTTAATCATGCTACTAAATGCGATTGTAAGGTCAAAGGTCACAAGCCTCCTATCACACTGTGTTTGTAATGTTCTGTGTTCCATTTCAAAGGTGTTCTAACACTCCGATACGCCGCACCAAGCAATCACATAGACTAGTACCCTATGTAAAACACCCTACCCCCACCAAGCACTGTGATAACAGGTAGGTGCATGGTCTCTTAATCGGGACCTGTTGCATAAAACTTACCATTGATGGTAACTTTGCCATCAATGGCAACTACCATGGTAACCTTGATTTTGATTTGCTGTTGAGCCCTGTTGCCATGGTAGCTGTCATTGATGACAAAGTTACCATCAATGGTAAGTTTTATGCAACGGGGCCCAGGAAAGGGATGCTCAGATTCTCAATTGTATCTGGACCTCTAACATTGTGTACTATGTTTAAACGAGCCAGTTACACGTTCATAGTGAACACCAAAGGACATTACATGTACATGTAGGTAGTGGCTACAGAGAAATAATTAAAGCATGCTACAGTTATACAAATGCATGACATAATTATTAGTCAATTATATGTTTGTCCAACACATATTTTGATTTGATAAAACATACTGGTTAAGAAATTTATAAGGTTCTTCATGAGATAGGTGCCTGCTATGCTTCTAACCGAACGCCGGAGAACGATATTAATAATGCATGTTTAAGACACACTAACACATTGGCATGAATCACTAAATACTGACCAGAATTATGTTAAAGGTACTATGTCCCATTTGCAGGCCAAAAAAATGAAAAGGTTAAATTCCAACGCATTTGAAAGACAATACTAGTTTAGAACTTCCCTAAAAAAGGTGGGGCTTGAAAATGTCTCCAAGTGGGAAAATAATGATTATTAGTTGTCAAATCGACTTAGGAGCTATAGAGCCAATAAGTAATAGTCTTGATTTTCAGACCATTGTACCGAATGGTCATGTTTTATGCTGCGCAAAGATTCCAACAGTTTAATTGGGCCATCACAAGAAGTGGGTTATTGGTGTAGACAAAATGGTCATTTACCCTTTACACCTCATTTTATGTATGTTATTACCAAAGAAGAAGAAAAGCCAGTCAGTCACTAAATAGTGTCTGACAGTGAAGTCTAGCAAGTAAACGGGTTTCCTTGCACAATTTGAATATTAGGACACTGCTAATGTTTAAATTTCACAGATAAGACATACATGACATATTCACAATTCTTGCAAAGTTCTACAGAATTTGAGGTTGGCTGCAAAAGGGACATAGTATCTTTAAAACTTGCTATTTTGATGAAAAATTTCTGTGGAACTTGATAAATGTCTACGTCTGTAGTACCCTTCTGATTGCTTGAGGCATGCATCAGTATAATTATTGCTCTTACCAAATACTTCCAGTGAGGCTGGCTGGCTGGCCGTCCATCTGTGATGGCATACATGCAGTCCACTGTAAATCAGGATTACTAACAGACATACCAAAAATACATGTTCGCGAGTGCATTAGTGAATATGCATTGCACGCAGATTAAGTCACGTACAGTAGGATAATGAACAAGACGAGTCAAGTTCGCTGTCCTTCTCATTGTGACTTAACCAAGAAGTGCATATCACTAAGACACAACCTAAAAACATGTTTTTATTTGTTTTATAAGATGGGTCTAGAATATGAGTATAAAGTCAAGAAATTGACGGTTATCACCAAATTGCACTCCCAGTGCAACACTATTGCATGCCGGCACACGTGATCTATTCTGATGCTTTGGCTACATTCTTGAACCCATTTTATGAATGACAATGCATGCTCAAGCTATTCTCTAAGATGATGTGATCTAACAATCATCTTTACTCCATATGAAACCATTTCCGCAATCCAATATGTGTATGTGTATTGATCCAAACCACAACCCACATACATAGGCCCTCCTTGATAGTGGTTTGAAGGGCATTGATGTTTCTCTAAGATTTGTTTGTTTACCATCTCATCACCATCTTTATATCAATGGCTTAGTTTTCATGTACATGTATGTTTCTCTTATATGATAGCTTCCTGGGACCTGTTTCAGACAAAAAAAATTGTCAATGACAAATGATAAGAATCAGTGATAAATCTATTTACCAATCAGAAGCACAGATTTCGGTAGCTTATAATAATAATAATAATAATAATAACAATTTCTTATATAACGCTTTTCAGGAAGGCCCTATCAAAGCACTTTACAGATATATATATTATTGACCTGGTCATCGGATTCAGGCTCACCCGCACACGATGTATGCACATTCTCCACTCCCTGGGGAGCATACCAACCAGGCGTCATTTTTACAAGCGCACACGTGCTTATCTAAGCACATTAGCTTTCGCATCCTACCGGGTACCCATTTAACACCTGGGTGGAAAGTGGCAAATGTAGATCAATGTCTTGCCAAAGGACATTAGTGCCACGGTTGGACTTGAACCATAGACCTTGTGATCCACAGTCCGGTGACATATCAACTCGACCACGATACCTCTACACCTTAAAACTGTCATTGTCATTGATGACAAGTTTTGTGAAACGCCCCCACCCCCCCCCCCCCCCCCCCTGGTTTTGAGGCCTTTACTACATGTACATCATGAATGACATTATTATTATATTACATGATGGTTAACCTTTTCGGAAGCTTTCTAGTCTTCTCTTGTGCATGTGAAATATGCAAGAACCATGTCTAGGATTATTTTCCTGGTCAAAGAAATTGCCAAATGATGTATTTGTTTATTAGCCAGCTTTACTTCTCTGTCTTAATTTTTCTGTCCCAAGTTCTCTGAAGGAAAATCATGTCTTAAATCTTTTACAACGTGAGTACTGAACTTTAGAACGTTGAAAGATGAATTCATGATATTTTTCTTCGACTGTGATCTGGATGTTTACCAATTATACTTTGCTGATACTCCTATAAAACCAAACATTTTGTTGTTATTTTCATAGTAGTTGTAGATATTGATAATGCTGTGCTGCATTACTGCTTTATAGTTCAGTTTGTTAGCATGTAATTCTTCAACTATCTCCTTATACAAATGTGTGGTTAGACCTCTAGTTTTAAATAGTCGCTTTCTTCTGCAGTGTGCACAGTTTAAATGTTAGTAGTATACTAGTTTCTTCCTCTGCATGAGTATGCTTTTATCAAGAGAGCTTTGTAAATTGATTAATAGAAAGAGCATGCATTGAGACTTTTCATCCCTAATTTTATTTTATTGTATTTTATTTTTTTCTATGAGCTTTTGTAGACAAAAGACCATAACAAGGGCCAGTTTCTTGAAACTGTCTCAATTCTAATTTCATGTTCATCTATTGGAATGATAGGAAGTGACTTCAACTTTTCTATATTTTCAAAATATCTATATCCTTGTTATTTGATGTAAAAAGAATTAATTTCAACATTGTTTTGTGTTATTATTGCTGAAAAAAAATCCCAAGTTTGATAGGCTTACTTTTGGGTGCACACAGAGTTAGGTACACTTACTTATTACAAGGAGTGCTACTCCATTATTGGCTCACACACAGTACTATCTCACTAACGTCTACACGCACCACAGCTGTGCATTAATTGCTTACTTAAAAATGGTTGGATAGTACTGGAAGCTATTGCATGTTTTTTCATTAAAACATATGGGATGGTCTCGGTAAAATAATTGCAAAGGACTGTTTTTGACCAATCATTTAATGATGTCTTTGTTTGACCAATCATTTAATAAGGACTGTATTCAGGTGAATATGATGGGGGTTACCATCATCCATGTATCTACTCATTAACAAATGAAAACTAACCTCAAGTTGATTGGCACGTTTATTTGGGTGCCACGAATACCCATTGACATATTTATTTGGGTGCCACAAGTACCGATTGACACATTTATTTAGGTGCCACGAGTACCGATTGGCACATTTATTTGGGTGCCATGAGTACCGATTGGCACATTTATTTGGGTGCCATGAGTACCGATTGGCACATTTATTTGGGTGCCATGATTACCGATTGACACATTTATTTAGGTGCCACGAGTACCGATTGGCACATTTATTTGGGTGCCATGAGTACCGATTGGCACATTTATTTGGGTGCCATGAGTACCGATTGGCACATTTATTTGGGTGCCATGATTACCGATTGGCACATTTATTTGGGTGCCATGAGTACCGATTGGCACATTTATTTGGGTGCCACGAGTACCGATTGGCACATTTATTTAGGTGCCACGAGTACCGATTGGCACATTTATTTGGGTGCCATGAGTACCGATTGGCACATTTATTTGGGTGCCATGAGTACCGATTGGCACATTTATTCAGGTGCCACGAGTACCGATTGGCACATTTATTTGGGTGCCACGAGTACCGATTGGCACATTTATTTAGGTGCCACGAGTACCGATTGGCACATTTATTTGGGTGCCATGAGTACCGATTGGCACATTTATTTGGGTGCCACGAGTACCGATTGGCACATTCATTTAGGTGCCACGAGTACCGATTGGCATAAACAATAGGTAGTAGTTAATAGAAGAAGGGCTTCACTTTGCATTGTTGAAATTGAACACATTACTGAACCCACATCTGGGCTTCAGTGGATATGTAAAATCCCTGTTTATTACTGAACCCACATCTGGGCTTCAGTGGATATGTAAAATCCCTGTTTATTACTGAACCCACATCTGGGCTTCAGTGGATATGTAAAAGCCTTGTTTATTACTGAACCCACATCTGGGCTTCAGTGGATATGTAAAAGCCTTGTTTATTACTGAACCCACATCTGGGCTTCAGTGGATATGTAAAAGCCTTGTTTATTACTAAACCCACATCTGGGCTTCAGTGGATATGTAAAAGCCTTGTTTTAATCTTGAAGCACCTAGCTTGACAACAAGAAATCAGAAAAATAAATTAGAAACCTTTCATTGGTTTACCAAGCAAACACTTTTGAGCAATACAATGTGGTCCATGAATGTTAATTCTTTGTGTGCCCTACTGCCCTGTTGAGGAGCTGTGCAGGAAGGGGCCATTTCTTTGCCAGGGATGGGGGTCCTGTGGGGGGGGGGGGGGGGAGGGGGGAATTACATGTTTCTTAGAATCAATTATACAGGGCCAGATTGCTGTAGACAATGTATGTCCAAGATTTCAGAGAGGTTTTACAATTTTTGTCTGTTTTGTTGTTTTTAGTCGGCGGGCCCATGACCCTGATGGCTACCCAGTCACATGTGAAGTGTCTCCTTTGCTATCGTACGCTGGAGAGGTAAGTAAACACACTCTTATCATTTCAAACTAGTCTTTGTTTTCCTCAGTAACTGTACATACAAACATACATATTAATATTTACATTATATAGCGCCTTTACATAAACATGCTCAAAGCGCTTTACATTAGTAAATAAAAACAGACTAATTATTTTGCTCTCCAACAGCATACACTGTAAATGTGTTGTGTAAAGCTGTGTAAAGTAATTCAAAAGAGTTGTGCACCACATGATCCAAGCCTTGTTTGTGTGGTGCACAACCTTGTTCACATCCAACACAACTGTAGGACTAGACATTGGATTCCCTTCATGGTCTCTATAGTCTGGTGCCCACTTGACAGTCTTAGTTCTTCTGCTAGTAGCGTCCAGCAATACATTTGATAAAAATACTTTGATAAAAAGCTTTTGTAAAAAAAGAAATCATCCTCTGGAATACAAATGCAAGATACTCCTTATTGGGTTATGTGTGATTTAGGAGTAGCTCGTTTCGTTGACAAGCAACCATGCATTAAACCTTAGTCTATGGCTGATCGTTAACGAAACTGGCTTATTAGTTGACATATCGTTGTGGTTTGATGTTGGCTCTGACCATCGTGTTTTATTTTGTTTGTTTACAGGGACTTGATAAGATCTGTAATGGGAACAAGTTTTGTCCTCCTATCCTTCTGAACCAGGCTAATATAATCGCAGAGAAACAAGAAACCATCGCAAACAATTAAAGAGAGAGATACACCGAAACATTACTTTATCCGGGTACTGATTAAGTTCCAAATTCCACTTTTTGCAGCAAAGTCAATTCATAAATCCAGTATACAGTCCACATTCCCTTGTTTTATGAATTAATAATCATCGCTTTGATAAATAATGTGTTTTCAAAGGAACATTCAGAATTCAATTGACTTGGTACTTAGCAAGTTATCAGTGTATTATTTTCTTTCATGTTTGAAACCTTCGTAATATAAATAAATTTTCTTCCGTGCCAGTTATTTTGTATGAATCTATTATCTCAAAAATGTATTTTCCTTGCATCATATTGATTCTCAAAATAAGTCAATTTTCAAATTCATTTTAAAGATATATTTGTTTATTACAAGGCACTAGCTTGCATTGCTAATTTTAGTTTTTTTTATTTTCATTCTTAAAACAAATAGTTATAGGAAGATCATTCCTATTTAAGAAGTAAATTGTATCTACTCATTTATTGTTTTGTTTTCTGACAAGAATGTTTTTTTAATTCTCTATTTGAATGAAGTCAATTTTGGACAGACTTCTTAATGACAAATTTTATTCTATTTATTAGATATGTGTATTCCTGAACCGTTGGAACTTATGTAGAAATTGTAAATATTGACATTAATATTATTGGTAAGAAAGAATGTATTATGTGATATAGTGTTCTAATATGTTGTACAATGTAGATTAGTCGGAAAATATATTTTCAGTGAAACTTAATTAAGTATTTAGCTGTACTACAATGGTAAATGTAGTGTTACTATTGATGTAACAAGAAACTTTGCTGAATGTTTTAGGTATAGCAATGAATGACAACTGAAGAATCTCATTAAGTTTTAAGAAGAGTTCATTTAGTTTTTAGTTTTATTAAAACCAGAAGCATAACGTCAGATCTTTATCTCTGATTACGATAGGAAGTGTGGTTCTTTTTACATTTGTCTCATATTGAGAAGTTGTAAATTATATCTACATATGTATGTGTATATCCTGAGTTACACATGATACCATGATGAAACATTGAAAGAGCTTGTCTAGTGACCATGCTTCTGCACCAGGTCCAAGATGATAGAATTCATTCCTTGTTCATGGAATTTCACTGCAAGATCAATTACATTGCCTAATATGTGCATCCACTCTGTTAATAATTATCTCTTCAATTCAATTCAGCATATGATCAATGCATATAAAGTGCATCATCTGGTCAGAGCCTAGGCGGCCATACCTTTACAATGAATTACACAGATTGAGCTATCATCATTCGATATATGATTGCAATAATGATGTTATCTTACAGATTTTTTTGCAAGATGAATGTAGAAATATAAATTGATTTTTAAGCCTTTCATAATAGACATTCTGGAAACCTACTTTGATAACTTTAGTACATTAGTAATCAATATTGGTATAAGTCTTACATTACATGATCATTCTGATACTTAATTTGTCTTAATTTTGCTACCATGTTTACATGACATAATAATAATAGATATGTAAGTTATGTGATGTAATTATACTACTTTAGCAATCTCCATGATGATGTTTGTAGTGTACCTATTTCAGACTATATGTATTGTATTCCTAGCTATAGAGTTATAGGCCCTGTTTTATAACATTGTTAGCAATATGAAGTTAGTAGCCACTGAACAGAAAATTTGATTTGCTCTGATCAATGTTGTGATAGTTTTGTAGCAATTGTTAAGTTTTATGAAACGGCCTTGATTTCCCAACTTTGTAAACATATTTACTAGTATGTACATATATTCATCAAGTGGTGTTTATACTCATTTGTTTATGTGTTATCAAGTCAATTAAAGATAAATTGGAGTCCTGGTAAAAAAAGAAAAGAATTCTCACAGAATCAAACGAAACTTACACTGAATGTTCAAGATTATAAATAAATGTCATTTGCCAAACAATTTTGGTAGAAAATGTATACTGGCTGAGTAATGAGCTTAGAAAGATAAGGAAATCAAGGTAAGTAGGCACGACACCATTTGTGTAGTCCCATGTACATCTTTCTGTGTACAGTGCTAGTTACTTTATCAAGACTGGGCCAAATTTCTTATGATTGTGATGACTCCAGAACCTTGCAGTACACACAAATACTTATATGCTACATGATCAACTTGTTCTGATCCATTCCACAGATAAAAGGCACAAGGTTTGATTTTTTTGAAGTCTTTGCAGTATTGTTTATCTATCTATCATTGTTTAGTTTTAATGTTACATAATGTGTTCTCAGAAACAACATTCCTATCAATTTACCTGACCTACTTTGTTTTTAATATATTTGAGTGTCATCCTTTTTTCTTTGCAAAACAGTTTTATTTCCATTGTATGTTTGTACAAATAAACAATTAATAATAATGGTAGGCACTTAAACATCAAGACGAAAATTTGTATTCTCATTCTATGTTTGTACAAATAAACAATTAATAATAATGGTAGGCACTTAAACATCAAGACGAAAAGTTGTATTCTCATTCTATGTTTGTACAAATAAACAATTAATAATAATGGTAGGCACTTAAACATCAAGACGAAAAGTTGTATTCTCATTCTATGTTTGTACAAATAAACAAATAATAATAATGGTAGGCACTTAAACATCAAGACGAAAAGTTGTATTCTCATTCTATGTTTGTACAAATAAACAAATAATAATAATGGTAGGCACTTAAACATCAAGACGAAAAGTTTTATTCTCATTCTATATTTGTACAAATAAACAATGACTAATAATGGGAGGCACTTAAACATCAAGATGATAATGAAATGACATAAACAAAGTGTGATGATGTTGTGGTTTGTAGACAGGTCTTACACAGTTGAGTTTCTAAATTCCATTATGTAAATTCAGGGAACTGGTTAAAAGCTTAATTAAAATAGACAATGTATGTTAGGAACTTGGTAATTTCAGCCTTTCTTAGTTCGCTTGAGGAGATATACAAAATTATTTGTCTGGTGTATTTTGCTATCTATGAACTGAAAATAACATGACAGAAATACATGTATGTGAACAACTTTTCTTTCATTTCATGGATTTTTATACAGTATACAGTTGTAAACATCTTTTTTCTTTCTTTGAGAGGTTATATGCAGATGTGTTTAACAATATAATCTGCAATTTTCAATCTTTCCTCTTTAATTTCATTTTATGTGTGTTTATTTGGCAATAGTAATATATACTTCTGAATTGAAATATTCTGTGATAGGTAAATTGATATGTGTTTGTTCTCGGTAAGCTCAAGATTGTTGTTTACATTGTGCCTTAATATTTTTTAATATCAATGTGTTTACCTCCGGAACGACATAGATCTGAATATAATAGCCTCTATATTTAAGCTCTGCTTAGTTTAACATTCCCAATATTATTGAAAATAATATCTCTAGTGATATTCATTTGTCTCGCAATGTATGGTCAACAAGTGATCTAAAAGATCACGACGTTTCGTGCGCCGCTGCAACACTTTGTCAGGTGATACAATATATTGTAAGCAAACGTCTTTTATACTCTACATCTGGGTCTTTTGATCCCTTGTTGACCATACATTGCGAGACAAACGAATATCACTAGAGATATTATTTGTGATACTATATCCCCAATGAGCATTATTCCTTTGTATATTATTGTATACATGTATTATTAGAATGTCTTCATCTCAGTCTGCCCTTCTCTAATCCCTTATAGCAGGGAGTTGAGAGGGAACTCCCTGCTTATATCGTCTATATTTATTTACATGCGTTATGAGGATGAATTAATGGGAATTATGTTTTTAATAAAAAGGTTAAGAGGTATTCAGTGTTTATGTAAAAATAATGAGAACGAAAATCCAATCTTCAATGAAGTTCACTACAAAAATAACACCAATTGATGTAAAGGAATTCCTTACAATTGTATGCTTTGACAAAATATAGAGAAAAATTAAACTTCAGAAATAAAACCCATTTACAATAGTAGACAAGTACACTCTACAATTTGTTGTTTAAATTGTGATGAGTTTGTGGCTTGTGATATATCAGGTCATTCATGAGGTCACGGTTTGAAGTACATTGCTACATTGGCTATTGCTACAAACAAATGCTTCAAATATTCCAATATTGTAGAATTGAAGGTCAATTTCACAATTGATCAGTGTCGTGAAGTGTTTTTATTCTTCTCATTATGATCAACTCTGTGTGTCATATTAAACAGTTTGCCCCTTTGAAATTATGAAAATTCTGTACCTACCTACGGCACAAGAAGAGTTTATGAATGGAGACTTATATTGAATCACTGTGATTGGTCATAATTGAACACATGTATTATGTAGAAATGTGCATGCCATTCGGTATTGACTTACGATGGATTTTTATAATTCAAATTGATTAAAGTCTTTCAAATGTTCTAACATTGAGTGTGAACATGTATTTTGTTTGTATTTTTCAATGTGACTTAATGTCTACATGTCTACTAGTGTCTTTAGGCGTCTGAAATATTACCAGATGTGCAGTTCAATAATGATATGCAGTGATAACTTCTGCCTAAAGATGATTATGAAATAACATTTTGATGAACAAAGTCTTGGAGTTTGGGGGATTATGAGTCACCAATATGAAGGACAGAAACGAGAACTTACCTAAGTTTGAAGTTTGATCTTCATTAATGAAGTAACGGGGAGTCTAGAGATTATGTGAGAGATACGAGCCGCGCATGCGTCAATCAATCTTGAAACTGTGAATATGGGCCAGACATCCGGCCCCTATCATACAGTATAGGATGAAATGCTTGTGAAGGTATGTGTTTGGATGCATGAGAATGTATTCTGGCACAGATAGAAAGACAGAGAGAGAGGGGGTGCGAATGAGGAATAGGTAGAAAGTAAAGGAGATGCAACATTCAAAATAGCAAAAAGATAAAGAAGGGGAATGGGAAATGAAGATAAAATATATATTTAGGGAAGGAAAGACAGGTAGGGGAAATTGGAAAGGTATGTGTGTGTGTGTGTGTGTGTGTGCGTGCGTGTGTGGGTGTGTGTGGGGAAGGGTGTAGGGAAGAGGTCAAGGCTAAAAGAAGATGCAACATTCAAAATAGCGAAGGAAAAGGAACAAGATATATAAGAAATGTTTTTTAGAACCTTAGACAATTAAGAAGATGAAATATAAATACGGATGTAATGTGCGTGTCTGTGTGTATCTTTGAGATACACATAATGAAAGCGAAAGCAAAGTTAGAGAGAGCGAGGGAAATAGGGAGAGAGAAAGAGAGCAGAGTGAGATCGATGGAGAATTGCAAAAAGGTGAATGTGCTTGTTGAGGAATAATGAATTTTTAGTTTTTGTTTAGATTTACACTCTAATTTGTAAAAAGGTTCTATTCATACAATCCCAGATAGCAAAATATCTGGGGCCCATCTGGGATTTGTATGGGCTGACTAAAACCCACATGGCCAATACAAAAACCAGATGTATACCAGATGGGCCTTCCCACCCAGAACCCACACACATGGGCCCCATGTGGGCCCCATGTGGGTTTTTGTTTGTGAAAATCGCACGTCGAACATCGGCTGCATGGGCCCAGCTAAAAACCAGATGTATACCAGATGGGCCTTTCCACCAAGAACCCACAAGTACCAACACATATGGGCCCCATATGGGCCCCATGTGGGTTTTTGGTGGTGATAATCGCACGTCGAAGATTGTCTTCACCCAGTTGAAAACCAGATGTATCCCATATGGGCCTTCCCACAAAGAACCCACAGGTATACGGAGCGCACGTGGCCCATATAAAAACCAGATGTATACCAGATGGGCCTTCAATTCCCATCCAGAACCCACAAGTACCAACACATATAGGCCCCATATGGGCCCCATGTGGGTTTTTGGTGGTGATAATTGCACGTCGAAGATTGTCTTCACCCAGCTGAAAACCAGATGTATATCAGATGGGCCTTCCCACCAAGAACCCACAAATATATCCCATCATGTGCATAATGAGTATGGGGTGCGTGCACATCTATGTTTTTTAACAGTTTATCTAAATTTACAGGATATTTCTTAATTACTGATGATTTAGTTATTTGCAATTCATTTCGAAAATACTACAAAATGTAAATTGCCAATTATTAGGAAATTTCACTACTTTGTTTAAATTACATTTAATTAAACATGAATTAGAAAAAACACTAACTATAATCTAAAACAGATTCAATAAAATACAAGTATATGGAAATGTCTAATCACAGCAAATTAACCAAGTCTTCTTAACACCAATGCCTTTACATTGGAAATGTTAGACGATGTGTTTTGCCATTGACCAAATTAATTAGTACAAGTGCTACATAACCTACTAATTATGTCTGCTAATTGGAGCTTTCAATCAGTGGTTGAAAGTTGTGCCAAATGGTACGACTGGTCCAGTTAAACCCAACTGGTAACCCTGGAAATTGAAATGGGATAAATGAATTCAACTGGGAAAAATAGGAACCCATTTAAACAATATGAAGCCCATTTAAAACCACATTGGCTCATATGGGACCAGATCAAACCCACTTGGCCCATATGGATCCCATATAAAAACCCGCTTATAGCCCATATGGGGCCCATATAGAACCCACTTGACCCATATATAGAATGTGGTAGGTCCCACATAAAACCCACATATGGCCCATCTGGTGCCCAATAGGTAACCCTTGTGTATATTGATGGGCCAATTGTGGGGTACATCTGGGTTTCACGTGGGCCCATCTGGGCCAAGTGGGTACAATCTGGGCCGCCCATCTGGGGCCCTTCTATAACCCGGGTGCAGATTGCTGGGCCCCACATGGGGCCTATCTGGGACCCATCTGGGCCAAATGGGCCAAGTGGGCAAGAGATGGGCTGGCCCATCTGGGCCAAGTGGGCCAGCCCAGTTGTAACCAGATAAAACCCTGATGGGCCCCACAACATTTTGCTATCTGGGATGCCTGCATGGATGTACATTTATTTTTATCCCATTGACCGATCGTATTTATTCACTGACTTGTTTATGAAAAGAATGTCGCTCAGAAAAAATACAGGTCACTATCCATGTGCTATTAAAAGCAACCGATTTTAAAGAGTTCAATAAACAGATAAAAAGCAAAATGAGAGAAACAGATCAACACAATTTTGAGCATGTATTCGATCAAGATTAAGGAAATTAATCAAATCGAACGCACCTCTGTATATATAATTGCACATATATTTCAACATACTGGTTCATCCATTTTTTTACCTTTTTTTCAACATCGCTTTGACAAAAGCACAAAAATGTCATCCGGTTGACCTGCGATTGCCAAGGATGAAGTCGTAATGGATTTGTCGCAGTTGTTATTAAAAGCAAGATTTCGAAACATCGCTTAGAGGGCGTGTGGCGTTATCTGTAGATTTCATTAGGAGATTTCCTGAATAAATGGTGATTTCAACATCGTTTACTTTATCATGTTACTATAGCAGGCGTGGAGTTTTAGTTTGCGCTTGTTCTAGAGCTGGTATTCCATTGTCCTTAATTAAAATCGTGCACTGCACCAGGCTTCATTGTCGCTCATATGACTAGGTTGGTGAGACGCTACTCTTACAAAATCTTTTGTCCAAACTTTGTGTTTGTGTTTTTAACATAAGGAGACAGCACTTCCACTGTCATATAGTAAGTATGTTTAAAAGAGAAAATTGTTTGTATAAGAAATGTATGATAATACAAAAAAGGGAGCTTACGTATTATAGGCGTTCGATATGTGCCTGTCTACGATAAACTGTTTGATTTCAGCAAAAGTTTGTTATCTTTCAAATAAATATATCAATATTCTTATTCAATATGCACACTAATGGGCGTAATTAGTATAATTGATGTTTACCTATTCTTCAATTCAATTCAATTCAATTTAGTATTTATTGTCCATTTCTGGATATTTGATTTTCACTGGTGTAACATAATAACATTTACTAATGTATTTACAAAAATGTAGACATTAAGTTAACAGTGAATACACAAGGTTTAACATATGATTAAGCACAGATTAACAGAGGATCGAATGTTGTTCCATAAAAACTAATTCAGAACAATGGTTAGCATAGTAAATGAAGCAGAGCAAGAGGAGGTGTCAGGTGATCAAACGATTGAACAGGTGAGGTAAATATAAATATACTGATATACTGAGGAGGTTTGGTATATCTACCCGTACATGTATTTTCGTCTTAAACCAATTTGGGAATTATTAATTAGATTAAATATGATATTAAAGTACAACACTGGGTCTTTGAGACATTCCGTTGTACATATGGATGGAGTTTGCTATGAATGATTGCCGAGTTCTCACTCGTGCAGACCTGGGCACACACAAACGAAAGCCTGACCTATTGTAATTGTAATTAGTGTGAAGCGGGTGGGTGGGGTCGTTCATGATTCGTTTGACTTTAGCAACTACTCTTTCTTCATACAGTATGGATACTTCGTGTAGGCTCCTGCCAATTATCCGTTGTGCTACTCTCCTCGTACCGTCTAACTTCTTCTTATCTATTTGAGTTGCATTCCCAAAGTTGTATGTAGCTACACTCTCTATCAATGATCTGTAGAATAGAGTCAGAATTGTTTTGTCTACATGCATCTTTCTCATCATTCTCAAGAAGTACATTCTCTGATTGCACTTTTTTCTAAGCAAGGTAACATTTGATGACCAGTCGAGTGAATCAGATACCGTTGTTCCCAAGTACTTATAACTGTCAACTCTTTCCACAGCCGACCCCTGAATAGTAAGCGGTGGTCTTGCTTGTGGATTTCTCCGAAAATCTATAATCATTTCCTTTGTCTTCGAGACGTTCAACTTGAGATAGTGTCGTTCACACCACTCTACAAATCTGTTTACACAGGTGGCATAATCTTGTTCACTTCTGGTGTCTGACATAAAGCCTGAGATTACAGTATCATCTGCATACTTAATCATTTGACATATGTTGGTGATGTGCTTATACAATTACTGGTATAGATAGAAAATAATACTGGAGAGAGGACACAGCCCTGAGGGGCTCCTATGCTGATGAGTTTCACTTTAGAGTTTACATTTCTCAAGTGAACATATTGTTCTCTTTCATTTAGGAAATCCTGTATCCATAAAATGAGGGTAGGGTGTGCTTTTATCTCAATTAGTTTCTTAATCAGTATGTGCGGTACAATTGTGTTGAATGCACTTGAGAAATCGACAAACAAACATCTTATACAGAATTACCAACGTGGTCCATGTGATTATATATATATATTACGGAGAAATGTCAAAATTGCATCGTCTACACCTTTACCTTCCCTATAAGCAAACTGCAACACATCTATCTGATCCCCAACTTGCCTCATGAGGTGTTTCAACACAATCTTCTCTAAACATTTCATTACGCTACATGTAAGGGATATGGGTCTGAAATCATTCATTTCTTTCGTTTGTTTACCTTTTGGGATAGGGATAATTATTGACCGCTTCCATAGCTGGGGGATTATACCTAGACTTAGAGATTTCTCAAATAGTTTAGTAAACACTGGGGCCAACTGATCCTTACATACTTTCAGAACTTGGTTACCTATTCCGTCTGGTCCGGGCGACTTGTGTGTTTGTAAGCTTGCAAACATTCGTCTAACATCATGCTCATGTTTTTGGATAGGTACTCTGAATGGAATTTCGTCTATTACCTTACATTTCATTTCTTCGTTTTCAATAGAGAAATTTTCTACATCAAATCGGCAATAAAAGTCGTTGAGTTCGTTAACAAATTCACTATCTCGATCAACTACCACAGATTTAGATTTATCTTTATTGTAACCAGTAATATCCTGCATTGTTTTCCATGCCATCCTGGGATTGTTTTCGCGGAAGTTCTGTTCAATCTTTTCCTTGTAGGAATTATGTTTACATTTTTCCGTCTGACGCTTGATTTTTCTTTGGATATTCTTTAGTGACTCAGAGTTTCCAGCTGAGAGTGCTGCTCCCTTCTCTCTGAGCAGATCGCGAAGCTCTTTATTCACCCACGGCTTGTTGTTAGGGTACACTTTAACGAGTCTGTGTGGGATTGTCAGTTCAATGCAGAACTTGACGTAGTCGGAGACAATAGTTGCTTCTTCGTCCAGAGAGTTCGCGGAGTTGATTAACAAGTCCCAGTCGGTGCAGTTTAGGCATGCGCGTAACGCCTCGTTGGTTTCTGGGGTCCAAGCGTATCGTTGCCTATAGTGACGGGCTTGCTACGTTTCAATTTCTGTATATATGCCGGTATCAGCTGTATGTTCCGATGGTCTGATCGGCCTAGTTGATGACACGCCCTTTCCTCTTTATCTACTTTTAATTTTATTTTACTCTCCCAACATTTTTTTTTGACTTTTCAGCTCATTTTCTAATTTTTACTTTAACCATTAGGACCCCGCTAAACTGTATTTGAATATCAAATGCATCTAACTTTGTTATTGCTATATATTTATCACGTATTTTATTATTGTAAATTCTACTGTTATCAGTCGCAAGTTAGTCTGTGAAAAACTATAAATTCATTTTGGGCAATGATAACCATTTCAATTAGATTCATTTCAATAAGTAACAGATTTAGACAACTTGTATAAGAAATACAAAAATAACATTATCATTACAGGTGACTTTTTGGTGAGGGGCATTCGCTGTGTTTTATTTCGTAAAGGGGGAGGGAGCAGCCCTGCGAGGTTCCATTTAATACTGTCATTTGTTTTATACATTGTACCATTAAATCTGTTTAATTCCTCAGTTAATCTACGTTTAATTGATTAAATTCTACTTCTCTTACACACATCAATTATTGAGCAACTGCCCTTATAGAATAGTTGCAATAATCGTTATGATTATTATAATTATTATTATTAATGTTACTATTATCATTATTATTATTATTCTTACATATTTTTTTCAGAATTCTTACCGCAAAGCACCATGGCAGAGAATGATCGAGAAACGTTTGACCAGGATCTAGTGTGCACTTCATGTAATGATAATTCAGAAGTTTTGTCATTCTGCAGTGATTGCGATGTTTACATGTGCGAACGATGTCACAGTGGACATAAGCAAATGCGATTCCTCTTCGCCAAACATCATGTTACTTCAATAAATGACTTGAATACAGTTTCTCATCACCGTGGTGATAGGTACGCATGCGCAGTACATCAACATAATAAAGATCTCTTCTGTGAAACCTGCACAATCCACGTTTGTCCAAAATGTGTCGTCATCAATCATCGTGGTCACCAGCTGATACAAAACCAGGAAGATTTCGAGAAGGATATTGGGCAGAAGATAGATGATATTAATCTTAAATGCAACCAAGAGAAGGATCACCTCAAGAAGAACATTCAACACATAGAGCAGGTTCGACAAGACGTGCACGAAATCATTAAAGACCTTGAAGATGTCATTACGAAAGAACATGAACAAAAGATTGGATATCTGGTAGAGAATCAAGCAACTCTTGTAGAAAATGTGAGATCACTAGAGATAGGGTTCGACGAGGAGCTTGACAAGTTGAAAGCCACTCAAGGAAAGAGGGTTAAGATGATGAGTAGTTGGTTGTCGTCAGTGATGATTGGTAGATTAAATAATCTCGTATGGCGTATGGTGTATGGCGATCTCGAAAAGCTTTTGATAGAAACTAATGATACAACCAGAGTAGATCGTATGAAGCAAGCAGCTAAGAGCATACAGTTTTGCTCTGCGGATGAGAGGCTTCTTGACCATGGTCATCTCCAAGCAGGAATGCACATTGTGAGAGAATTCAAAGTACCAGCTGATATTTGGGGAATGGCAGCACTCTCCTTAGATACCGTGGTGGCAGTTTCAGGAGGAAAAGGAAAGGGAAGTTATAGCTTCTCTTTATCAGGTCAAGAGCAATCGCATCTAGCTAGCAGCAAAGGTAGTGTGCATGATCTAACATTTTTAACTGATGGTAAACCAGTAGTATCTCGTAGCTGTTCGACATGTTGTGTTTGCCCAAACGATGATACGTGCTTTGAATATACATGTAAGCAAGGAGAGTGGGATCTGAGGCTATGTAGTGATCAGAGTGATAACGTATACGCTGTGAATAAGAATCCCGAAATATACATCTTCCAAGGTAGCAACTCTAACCCACAGAGAGTCATCCCTATTGGTAACAAACCAATACAGATCAGTGTCACCAAGACAGGAGTAATGATCCCAAGTACTGGCTCCCAAACACCTAGTACAGTTCATGTGTATGACATAGAAGGTCACCTAGGCAGTACTCTCACAGCGGTGGATGATAGTGAATACCTGTATACTGCAGTGGATAGCTATGATAGAGTATTAGTGGCTAGAGTGAATCGTGGATCACACATGCTGAGATTGATCAGATACAGACTCAAAGGATTACAACTCATGCAGCAAATTACATTCAGGGACCTCAAACTTCCTCATAGAATTGACCAACCACCCTATTTCTGTTACATGGTACTTGTAACACCACTAATGCTGGCCTTCGCTTCTCTTGGCAAGCGTCTATACTTCATTGAACTTGACGCTTAATTTCCTATAGTATCATTTCTTAATGTAGTAGTATAGAAATTTCCTTTTTGATTGTTAAACCAAGGTATTTAGAGGTACCATTTGTGAAAGTTTGTAATCAGAGACAACATTACTGAAAAGGTCTTGTTGGGGCTAGTGTTCATCCGCTGAGTTCATGTAGTTCCCCCAATATTAATTCTTTGTTTACTTTTTTAAATGATGAATCAGACACCCGAATGTGTATTATTGATATGTTGGAAAATACTTTGTACTTTCAGGTAAATTGTATGTACATTTTAGTTAGTAGGATAAAAAGTGGATAAATATGTAAGGCCTTAGTTGTGCTGAAGATATCAGTATTAAAGAGGATGGTCAGAAAATCCCGATTGTAGGAGGGAATTGCAGTGAATTTATTGTATTTTCAAGGTATGTGAATTTTTAATCACATGTGATTGAGTATCAGCTTTGAAATTAAGAAGTTACTATAGCCATAATAGTGTATTATAAGTTACGAAAATCGAAAGTTTGCTGCACTATGAGTGGCTAACAGATAATTGTTTGTTCGTGCAGCGCACACTTGTTGCACACTTGCTGCACGCAACCAATGGATTTTGCTCAATGAGTGAGAGTTCGCTCACGTGTATAGAAAATTGTAATCTTTAAATAGACACTTTGAGTTATGTTTAATGAGATGTAATATGGTATGAGAATATTTAAAGGAATTCTGTCATAATATGAGAGGTATCTAATTCTTTTTAAGCATCAAAACAATCTGCATACAGACAATACCATAGTGTGGAGATGGCCTTGATTCGTTTCCAAAATGATCTTGTGCAGGCTCTTGATAATGGCGATGAAGCAATACTTCTGATGCTTGATCTAACATCTGCATTTGACATGGTGAGCTATCGAATAAGACTGAGAGATAGGTGTTGTTGCCTACTGGTTTGCTTCGTATCTCTTTGGAAGGAAACAACAGTGTTGGCATGTCTGATCCGACCTAATTGGTCCTGTTCTATTTGTCTGCTATACGAGACCTGTCCAGGATATTATTCATACTCATGGCCTTTCGTGATGATGTACGCCCACGATACTCAGTTGTACATTAGCATGAATAGATTACAGAGAATTGGGAAGCTTGAGACCTAGCTGCCTTCATGAGATCCGTAGTTACATGTGTACCAACTATATCACGTTTTGAACGACAGCAAATGGCCGGAAGTCCGATCCATACATCGTCCCCTATGAAGCATCATCAGGATCGAGCTCCCAGCCATTTCAGTGGAGCTAGGATCTCCAAGTGCCTACAACTAAATATGCTTTCGTCATCCCAAGATGTAGGACCAAATCATTTGGAAAATAATGACGCTACATCTAACAGCGGTTGTTGTTAACCTTAGTTGGGTGAGTCATTCAGGATGGCCAAGTTATATTGGTGATTGTTTTAAAGGGTTCTATAGAACACCTACCCCCTGGAAAACCACCCTCCGGATAACCACCCCTAGGAAGACCACCCTCAAGGACAACTACCCCCGGAAAACTATGCCACAGACAACTACCCCCTACGACAACCACCATCTAAGACAACTATCCTAGGGAGTAGTTTTCTGGGGGTGGGGTAGTTCCCCGGGGGTAGTTGTCCAGGGGTAGTTGCCCGGGGGTTAGTTGACCGGGGGTAGTTGTCCGGGAGGGTGGTTGTCCTGGAGGGTGGTTATATTAGGGCACGGGTGGCCAACCCGCGGCCCGCGGAGCATTGAAGAATTGATAATAAAAATGGCTCATAAATGACATGTGGCCCGCATAGCAGCGATGAAATAAGGTACAATGTAGAACATTTACAAACAGCTATCTCTATTTCCATAATTTGTTCCCATCATTCACAACATATTGAATCATTACGTGGTTGATACAGAATTCCTCAAATTTTATCTCATTACATTACATTAACGACTAACACCCGGGGGAAGGGGGGGGGGGGTAGGACATTAGGACATACGGGTGTGTGCCGCTCTAATGGGTGACTTTGTCACACAAAAAGTCCCTAAACATGGGTCCCACTTCTTACAAAAATATCATTAAAAATGGGTCCGTTTCTTCAAAATTTCCAAAATTTTCGGGCGTTTGCCATGCAAACACTCGAGAAAAAAAAACAACAATTGTGGAAATTTTTTCTTTTTTTCTAGAAAAATCACCCCTAATAATGGGTAAGGGTTTCGAGGCTTGAGCGGCACTCCCCGTCCTAACAAACTCTGAGTATTCCCCCCCCCCCCCGGGCATTAACATCACCCGCCGTGTTAATTTCAGTTTGTACATATAAAAATTAATGTTGTGAATCAAGAAATATGTTTGAAATGCCATACTTGACTTGAAACTTACAGCCCTTTTCTCCCGCCTTTGAATTTTCTCATGAATTTTAATCGTAAACTGAATAACGATCTCCTTCCCTATTATGCACCGCGTTCAATGTGATATTTTCTTCACTGATCTGGTTGTTTGCTTGTTTGTTTGTGCAAAATTGCAGGTGTGTACACGTATTACATGAGTGTTTTTTTCTCTTTTTTTGGGGGGGGGGGGGGGGGGGGGGGGGGGGGGGGGGGGAAGACTACCTATGGCCCGCCAAGTTATGACAATCGTAAGCTGTGGCCCGCGATCTTTAAAAGGTTGGTCACCCGTGTCCTAGGGGGTAGTTGTTCGGGGGTTGTTGTCCGGGGGTAGTTTTCCTAGAGGGTGATTGTCCGGGGGGTAGTTGTCCTAGAGGGTTGTTATCCTAGGGGTGGTTATCCGGGGTGGTTGTCCAGGTGGTATGTGTACGGATACGGTTTGGAGGGATTAAACAGTTGGATATATTTATTTGTATTGATTTTAACAAATGGTGATATAAAAGTCTTGTGTTCATATGGTTGTTTTAACGTGTTACACGTAAATATATTTCAATGATAAAAAAGGGTGGATTTTTCAGATAAAAGTCAGATAAAAGATGATGATGTATATTATAATCGATGTTAATCATTCATCTCATGTTTCGCATTCTTCATGTGCTTTCTCTTTTTCTTTTTAATATTCTTCTCACTTCTCCTTCTCCCCCATCTCTCTCTCTCTCTCTCTCTCTCTATTTCTAGTATGCTTTAAAGTGCATTGCATTGTGTGTGAGTATGGCTGAATGTGTTTGCGAGATATTTGAAACTTTTTTTAATAGCATAAATATGCATAATTTTTTATTTTATTTATTGTATGCTTTTATTTTATTCAATGGTATGTGAATGGGCCCCATTTAAAAGCTTTGCTTCTTATGGGTCCATAACCTGTCATTATATTGTAATTGTACCAGTACCAGTGCGATTGTAAATTGTTTTTAATGATTGGTTGAATAAATTAAATTTAAATTTAAATTGAATTTAGTGATCATTTTCATTTTCTTATGATGGATTGTTTTTCCTCTTTGATTTGTATATGCAGGGGTTTTCTTTTCTATTCTCATCTATTAGAGATGTCAGTCATCATTGTAAATAATAAAGTATGACTCACCCTACTCCTCTGGGTTATTATCTTGAATAAATATATTTCAATAAAAAAAAAATGTAAACAAAAATGTGATATTGGTCATAATTATTACGCCCAAACTCATGTTTATTCTTGTTTGTTTACTATTAAATTATTTTTTGTTTTTATCTTTCTTTTTCTTCGTGTTTGTATTTAGATTGTTCATGTGGTATTTTCCACTTTTCATGTATGCTTGCCATATTGTATAATATTGTATTTATGTTTAGCATAGGCTAGGTTTAGATCATTCCTATTTATCGTTATACTTTTATATTGTTGTTTTGTTGTATTCTGTATTCTTTTTATTATTAAGCTATGTTTGTATTCTTTATTATGTATCATTATCATGACATATACATGTGTTGTACTCTCATACCCCAGAAGGGGGTCGAATGAGTCAATAAATTCTATTCTATTCTATTCTATTCCGGCCATTTGAGTGGAATAAATTTCATAGCAGCAAAGTCTTGATTGTACAATCCTTTAAAAAAAATGCAATCCGAGTTTGACTCTCGTTTTATTATACCATCATAATTATGGTATCGTTAAAGAGTCTTGCAATTTCCCTTTAAAATAATCCCCGTTTATATGACTTGTAACCATGGGGTATGCAGTTCACCTTTATATGAAGCGGCGTATCAAGACCTAGTTAGGAAGGGGGAGGGGGAGGGGGAGGGGGAGGGGATGGGGGGGGGGGGGGGTCCCGGCCAATGATGATCAATTGTATTCCACTCAGATATTCACATTTTCGGCCTGAATTTGCATCCATTTGTTTCGGCAGGCCTGAGGTTCCTTACCTATATTCCTCTTCATTATAGATGATGACTTCAATATGATTTTTTTTTATTTTTTATTTTCCTCTTGTCAGAGGTACTTTATTCATTTACAAAAATAACCAACACACAAATCATTACATCATAACAAAATTTTACATTCACTTTAAGTATTTTCTTAAACTATTAAGAGAAAATCTTCAGTGATATAAAATATCCCCGAAGATTTTCCTTAGTTCCCAGATGCTATTTCAAAAGCTCTCAAAAAACTCTCCAAAAAAAATACTATGTCCCGAGAGCCCCCGAAACAACATCCGAGATGTTATCCAAGAGTAACTCGTATTTAAAAACATGCCATATGAAAAAGCTGTTGTATGGTTTACCTTGAAAATAATTTAACATATACATCAAATAGATTGCGTATTGAGCATATGCAATGATTGTATTTATATCTGCTCCATTTGCATGTTTGAAATCAAAACCAGCAATTAATAATTCTTCGTTTAATATAATTTTTTCTTTAAAGTTCAATTCAATCAATTCCACAATACGTTTCCAGAAAAGCTTTACGCTCGGGCACTCTAAAAGAACATGAACGAAAGATTCTGCTGTTTTACAAAAAATGCAAAGGTTTTCATTTACAATTTTCCATTTGCACAGATTGTATCTAAAGGGTAAAATCCTATGAAATGTCTTAAAGTTGAGTTGTTTTATTTTATTGTTTTTCAATGTCTTAAACTTAAATTTTAATGTATCTCTCCAATCAAAATCAATGACAAGGTTCAGTTTACCTTCCCAAAATGTTAATACAGCTGGTTCTCTTTTCTTAAAGTCACACAATAGGCTATAGAAATGGCTAGATTTCATTGAAGATAGTCTTATAAAATCAAGTGTTCTTATTTCGTATAAGTCGCCTTCGAATTGTGAATTTGTTTTATCGTCATGTGCGTAATTAACATCTTGAATTCTTTCGATCCACATTTTTGGGATCGCATTTTTAAGCTTCGTATACATAAAATCAACTAGCAAAGAATTTGAGCCAAGCACTCTACAAATATGTTCTCTTGGCCGAAAACGTCCATTTTCTACAATGTCATTCATTGTTATAATGCCTTTTCTAAACCATTCTTTAAAAAAGAGAGGTTTGCTCTCATGTGTAATATTACTATTGTACCACAATACTTGATTTTCAACATTCATAACTTGTGGAAATTGAATATATTTAAGTTCGCTCCAAGTTACGAGACAGTTAACATAAAAATTAGGTATTTTTTGTTTTAAGCATAACTTTAACATGTCTTTACTGGAACAATTTGTTTTCAAAATTACTAACAACGGACATATTTTTTCAATCCAGTATCTAAACATAAACTTCCACGGTATATCATAATTATTTTCAAAGAAATTGTTAAACCATGATAAATGTAGCGATTGAAATTTAGAGTTTAAGTCGACCATGCCCAATCCTCCCTTTTCAATATCATTAATTAAGACTGTTCTCTTGACTTTTTCTCTTTTTGAATTCCATAGAAAATTATACATCAGTTTATTCAAATCAACAACTAGTTTCTGAGGGATAGGTAATACCGAAGCAACTTCAATATGATATAATTTACATGACGGGCAACCTATCCCTCTTCTTGGTGTATGCCTATGACCCCACCCACACTCTCACACACATTGATTGGACATTTAGCAGTGCAGAAAGCTCAAAGGATTAGGAGTGCTGAGTGCAGTTGATAAGTACTGGTATACTCCGTGATGTTTAACAAAATGTGGACATGCAGGGCAGTAATTGCACTGCCCCCAACCCCATCCCTTCCCCTCTTGTCAGCCACTTGTCATAATCTTGCCCGTGACGAAGGCATGTTTGTGCATCAAAATGAATAAATGACAGTGAATGGTCCAACACGACGAAGAGCTAGCATTTGTAGTAAGGTGAACCTTTTGTTATACGCATCTTCCCGCTTGGCTGCAAGTTCGCTACAAATAAAAAAGAAAACACCTATGAAGCATATTGTGCACTATGATAAAATCTTTCGAATAAACAATGTGTGCTTAGTTTGTGTGGTAGTGGCAAGCAATTAAAAAACTAAGCATGATATTAGACTTCGGCCCTCCGCTTAACTACACACCCCATCCAAATAAAGGAGATATATTTTGAACTTCGATTACACTAGCATGCATATTGTCTCTGTTTGAATATTAATGATTAACAAATACAAGGTGTTAACCTGATAATAACACATCGATGTGGTCAAAGGAAAGACAATATTTATTGAAACCATAGAGATAATTATGCCATTAAAGATTGTTCACTGCCCTATTATATGCCATAATGGTAGAGTATGTTGTGTTCTGTGCCATTTATCTCGGATAAAACTTAAATTGTCTTTTCGTATGGGAAACATTTCAGTTTATATCTCAGATAATTTCTTTTCTTTTGTAAGATCAGTATGGATCTAGGTTTACAAGAGTCACACCCCAAATCCGTAATCACAAACTCTTTTGCCGTACTATTTCTCATAGTATTATAACTATTACTTCCTCCAAGAGCAAAAGTTTCAATACTTGACAATAGAACATGGATATACGGGACGGTAAAACTATTCTCCTCTTAATTACTGCTTGCATCGGACACGTACCAGGGAAGATCATTAGACCATTGGATAGCAAGTTAAACAGATACCAGAGCACTGTACCGACTGAAGTCATAACTGAAATATATTATGTCACTGATCAAACAACTACAAAATCTACTAGTAGTGTATCCACGGGTACAACGGGAACTCCGCTCTTAGATCCTACACTTCTGCCATCAAGCGAGTCACCATCACAAACTACAACCGTTGTGTTGGCAACTTTGACAAGAGAATCCACAAGGACTATCTCAATCTTAACCACCTTCCGAAAGACAACGGTATCGCCTACTGGCAGTTATTCTCCATTTACGAGCGCGACAAAGAACCAACATTTCCAAGCAACAAGTGAACATTTTTCGACAGATGATTCTAAATTCACCAGTCCAAGCCATGGCCACACAGATCCCCCTTTGACATCATCCTTTTTGGCTAGTACAGACCAGTCAGGTACATCCATAAGAATGATGTCAACATTGGCTATATCACATCAGCTAGAGTCACTCTATGTTGCCGAAGACAGAATCAATGAGGACAGAATTTCCTCGGACGGAATCAATAAGGACAGATTTACCAAAGATAGAAGACCTTAGGACAGAGCCACTCATGAGGACAAGGAGACCTATTCAATACAGAGAGGAATGGCAACCCTGGAACTGATGAACCACATGGTAAATGTCGATTCTTATATGATGTCAAACTATTGTTCCCCTCTTCTCTTTCTTCCTGTCTATCTCTGTCACTCTAGTTAGTTTTCTATCTCACCCTCCCTGCAAATTATCGTTTCCTCCATGGCATGCAGAAATCTGATATGGATTTGTTCTTATCTACATGTCATCATTGACAGCTGTTCAATATCTGCTAATTTGTATAATTATTAATTCTTTTTTTTTGTTTAGTTACAGAAGAACCCTCGGTGTGGCACAACCCTACAGCTTTCTTTTCACTTGCTGTCTCCATAGTCTTCCTCATTCTCATCATGTTGATAATCTGCTGCATCATATGCCACCAGATGAAGGATGCAACCAAGACAGAAGATGGGTATAACCAGAGGTTCATTTTACTACAGATGCATGCTCTTCGACGTGTTGGACCGAGCCCTGGTGTCCAGGCTCTACCACAGAGTGAGATAGAGATGGGGTATGTATCAGAACAGAACTGGGATGAGAAAGAGATGGAGAGACCCAGTATACCAATCATTGCCTGGCTTTGAGAAGTCCACCTAAACTGGGATGAGAAAGAGATGGAGAGACCGAGTATACCAATCATTGCCTGGCTTTGAGAAGTCCACCTAAACTGGGATGAGAAAGAGATGGAGAGACCGGGTATACCAATCATTGCCTGGCTTTGAGAAGTCCACCAAAACTAAGATGAGAAAGAGATGGAGAGACCGGGTATACCAATCATTGCCTGGCTTTGAGAAGTCAACTCAACCTTCCTTGTCTTTATTCTTTGTTTCTTGGTACTAATGAGATGGTAACAGGCAGCTTGCCATACAGTTGGAATGGAGTTGGTACTGCAACCAATATTTGCTGGGAAAAAGTGTAAAACCAAGAAGCGTAAAAACAGGACTCGGATGAGTAGATTGTTGATGGTCTTAAATGTACATCTAGAAAATAGTTTGCATAAATTAATGGATTTCCTGCCGGTACGCTCATGATCATTGGCTTCGCCCATGTAGTTACCTGAATAATCTATCATCACATTTACTAAATCATCTAGGATGCCAATTACGAAATCATTAAAAAATTGTTAAAGAACCTACTTAGCAATTTTAGGTATCATTAAAAATCCTTTAAGAAGTCAGAAAAACACGAACTAGAGAACTCATATCCTATCAGACTGACAGGCCACATGACCAATAATACCAAGTAATGCCAATCTGCTGGACCATGAGAAAAGCTGTCAGAAGGCCCATGAGAGCGACATGCTGGTTTCGTGGATTGTTGATTCTGTGGGCCTTCTCAGTTCTCTTCAGACGGCCAGTCGATATATTGGTCTCTCATTCTTGTGGGCCGTAGCAATTCCTGTCCCTTTAAATGCCTTTATAAGTAAACTCAAAATAAAGACCTAAAGATTATTGATAGATAAGATTGGTTGCAATCACAGACAAGTTAATACATGTCCATACACCTCTCACTTCCCTTTGTTATGCCAAACACACACAATCATTAAAGGGACTGGTTAATACATGTCCATACACCTCTCACTTCCCTTTGTTATGCCAAACACACACAATCATTAAAGGGACTCGTCATTTTACTCCATTATATCATCAACAAGTTTATTTTAGATATCACATCTCATGTTTGATAAAAAACTGTACTTACATAATAATAAGATGTTCATAATCAATCAATTTCTGTTCCTTTTTTCCATTTAATTATTATTTTAAAGTAAAAATACACGACATTCTAATGTGACACTTACACGATATTGCAAGATAAAACCCTGTGTGTTATTTGTACATGGGCTCGGAACCTGCCCAAAGAAAAGGTTTACAAGGAAAAATAGCATGTAGTGAAACAATTGCCATGGTACAAGCACAAAAGTAAGAATGACTTTTTACTGAAAGTTTGAGCAAAACTGGACTTGGAAATTCATAGATCTCTGAATGTGGAGAGTATTTATATGCATTGTCATGTGAGCAGACTTTTCATATTATGGTGTGAACTCAATTATTTGTTGATTACAGTAAATTAATGAAACTGAAAATAATGTTACACACGAAGGAATAATAGTGGTTTAATGATGTATTTTCTGTATTATTTTATAGATAGGACATTCAGCATTGGTCTATAATTTCATTACTCAGAAGAAACAGAACGAAAAGAATTTATTGTGATGGTTCTTTGTACAACATCACATGCGAATTCTCACTTTATATGTAGTATAGAGCTATATTAAAACTGACATGTACACAAGTAAACTTGACTTTCACAAATTCAAAGTGTATTATTCAGTGTCTACTGTTTCTAAAAAACATTCAACAATTTCCCTGACTTTCCTGCATCCTATCATATAAATCAATTCCCCTATGCTGAAAAAGATCAGAAAGTCTGTGTGGAAAATAAATGGAAACAATTTCTTACATATGCCAGCTGACAAATTTATTTCATAACAAGTCTAAATTAAAAGATTTACTTTGATAGACCTGAGGTCAATGTACTGTATGTATGCGTGTATATTCTAAGTTACCACTAATTCTAACTAACTAAAGCAGGGGATAACATGCACTGATACACTCTTCAGAAATAATTGAAATATTAGCTTTTGCAGCTTTTTATTTTTCTGCAACAGAAGTCTGTACTTTATTTCAAATCAAGTCCAGACAAAAAGAAAAGGTCAAAAAAGGTTAAAGGTGAAAGAACTTTGGCAGGGAAAAAGCTAGGGCCAAGAACTCTAGAAACTGAAGTCAGAGCAAAAACCCGTTTTCTGATCAAAGCTAGCTCCCATGATGATCTTGGTCTATGATAAAGCCAAAATCCACACCAGATTTGTGTAAGATCTAGAAAAGGTTTTGATGCATTGGTTCAACAATAGAACATTTTCATTCATGAAACGATCTAAGGGGAAGTCTACTCCTGATATTAAAGGGACTGTATCAGCAGTTTCCATGTGCAGAAGGCCATAATTCGCTGCCACCAGACTTGGTGGAAATACCATTAATGGGACTGGAGTACAAATCTGCACACAGCAAACCCGTTGATCAGTCAAGAATTCCCCCCTAATCTCTCGGATAATACTCAAGAGTTTTCGGGTAACGGGGGAAAGCAAAGCATTACATAAGGTCTAATGGTCATAAAACTCAAGGCTAACCCGGGTGATTGACAACACCTGTTGTTGGGTTAACACCCAGACGGTGTCGAATTCCCCATGAGAGCTGACTACTGAGTGTCTTTAAGTTGGTTTTAATATAAGCAGACAAATGAGACAAACAGATCAGTGAAAGTTTGAACAAAATCAGATGACAAATAAGAAAGTTATCAATTTTTGAAGTTGCAATTTAAATCAAACACAAATTGGCAACACTGTGACATATCTTGCTAGCTCCTCTCCAATTCCTTCTGTACAGAAATTTTCATGAACTTTTATTTTCTTAGTTATTGGTGACAGAATAAATTAAGATTACAGGGGTTGTATAAAAAAACGTATTTGCAATAATTATATCGAGGGTAAATGTATGATTGCAAATTGTCAATGGGCGATTGGGAAGGAAGCTGGAAAGATTCGTCACAGAGATGCCAATATGTCTTTGATTGATAGCAACTTTTTAAAATTTGAATTTTTCATTTATCATCGGTATTAGCTCAAACTTTCACTGACCTGTTTTTTTGTCACTTTTTGCTTCTATTAAAACCAACTTAATATCAGGGCGGACTTCCCCTTTAAGACTACATAATGTCATAAATCCATTGATAATGATGATCAAGATGAGGAAAAAAAAAAAGAAGGAATTATAATATATTCTACAATATATGTACACATGTATGCTTTCTATGCTGCTACAAACACTAACATAATCATGACTACAACATCTAGGCCAGTAGATGGGCACACAGAGACATTTTGGTCAAAACTCATTTAGTTTTTTCATGAAACAATAAGCACAAAGAATTGATAAACGATACCCTGTTACTGTTATAGATATGGATGAAAATACAATCTGAAATGTATCATGTGTAGTCCAGGCATTCTGTGAAAAAAGGGGTCAACCTCCCACTAATTGCAACAGAAAGTCTGTCAACTGTTTTATACCCAGAAATATGTCCTCTATAACATCAAAAGTCTTAAGGAATCCTGGTGGGGGGAAGTTCCATGGCGGCCATTTTTCAAAATGGCACCCATGAATCTGATATTTCCTTATATCTCTGCTTCTGAATAACATAGATATTTTAAGTGCTAAACATACATTTTCAGGGACAAGGAATCAAATGAAACCCATTTCGGTAAGGTAAACTTGACAAAAAAGCTGAAATGCCGGGCAGTGAGAGAAAGGTCAATACTCTGAAAATTGTTTTTCAGTATTACACAATGCACATACAGTATGAGTCCAGTGCATCTATACTTGCCATGGTCACACAATGAAAATATAGTCATTCCGATGTGACATCTGAGGTTCAGCCCAAGATAATTTGATTGTAATGTAGCATACACATTATTCCACAACATATTTCACAATCATTATTCTCTGGTAAACCTCAATATAGATGTCACATAGATCTTTATAACAAATAATTTGGATTTGAAATTCATTTCAATTTTTACAAATTTGCTAATATAGCTTCTACAATATGAAATTGAAGTGCCTTCCCCACTTAAGGACACTAAATTGCCTTTCTTAAGAAACGACAGACATGTGCCAGTCAAATTGACACAAAATCATAATTTAAACCAGAATGTCAGTGCTTCTTCTATTTAGTTCTGGAGCATGGAACACAAAGGTTTGTTAAAACATTGTTGAGGCATTTTACAAAAAGGGTACTAAATTCTTCATTCCCCGTGTATCTAAACTCGGGACTTCCACATTGTTAGAGTGTAAAGGTGCTCTGTTGAACAGCCAAAGCTGGTTCAGGTTTATTGTTCACATGCCTCATACAGATTGCACTGTAGCCAATAGTTTTGACAATGGCAAGAAACCAGTATGAACATGCCTGTCAGACCGACTTGCTTGCTGACACAGCAGTATGAACATGCCTGTCAGACTGACTTGCTTGCTGATACAGCAGTATGAACATGCCTGTCAGACTGACTTGCTTGCTGATACAGCAGTATGAACATGCCTGTCAGACTGACTTGCTTGCTGATACAGCAGTATGAACATGCCTGTCAGACTGACTTGCTTGCTGATTCAGCGGTTGGTGATTTGCTTGCTAGCTTGCCTTTGGAGCTTGACTTTACAATCTTTAACTTTCTCCTGACCTCTGCTTGCCTTCTGAGGGCGCTATTTAGAATGTTTGCACCCCACATCCAGGTGTTCCTAGGAATCTGTCTTGCAATCCAGGACTAGAGAGAGAGAGAGAGAAAGATCAAATAAGGCAATCAAGTTAGCGTAAAAATTAAAAATTAGTAGGCAGGACCTTCTCATGTATTTTCATCATAAAAGGAACAACATTGTCAGACATTGTACCAATTTTGAATGGAGTTTAACTTCTCCATCTCAATGGGTTAGACTAAGGGGGAGGGGGAGTATCATGTATCCTTTAAATTCCTCAATTACTGAGAATGTGCTCTAAATAATACATTAAGAATCTACATGTATGAAAATAATAAAGAGACATCTCTCAGTTCGGGTAACAGGATTTTTTTTTAAACATACATTTATATGATTTTAGTTGTTACCTTCCAGCATGATTATCAATTGACTTTGAACCGGTACACTATATTTCCTTTAAAAGTAATAGACTAAGGAACATAATATAAATGGATATGTACTTCTCAACTCTTATTAATCAGTAACAAAAACAATGATTCCAGAATCTTATTCATCTTTGAAAATCATTAGCCTGATAACAATTGACACAAAATGATAATTAGATCATATTCCTTAGAATCAAGAGTTAATCATATGTACCTGCACAGCATGAGGCCAATACCCTGCTGTTCTGTTAGCGATTCCAATGCTTGCTACTGCATGCTTAGCATATACAGCTGCAGAAGGGATCAAGAAACGAGATCTGGGCATCGTCTCTCCAAAGTCAGCCATCTTTGTTGCTACATACGAGGGCAGCAGAGTCTGAACGATGATCCCATAATCCTTGTATTCATACTCTAATGCTTGTGAGAACACATCAACGTAGGTCTGTAACAAACAAGAAGTTATAATGGTAATTACTTCATCAAATGCTTGTGGAGCACATAAAGGTAGGTCTGTAACTATCCTTACCCCTCCTCCTCACCCCTCATCCTAGCCCCTCCTCCTCGCTCCTCCTCCTAGCCCTCCTCCTCTCCCCTCCTCTCCTCCTCTCCCCTCCTCCTCACCCCTCCTCCTCACCTCCTCCTCCTCACCCCTCCTCCTACCCCTCCTCCTCACCTCCTCCTCCTCACCCCTCCTCCTAGCCCCTCCTCCTAGCCCCTCCTCCTCACCCCCTCCTCCTAGCCCCTCCTCCTCGCTCCTCCTCCTAGCCCTCCTCCTCTCCTCCTCTCCCCTCCTCTCCCCTCCTCCTCACCCCTCCTCCTCCTACCCCTCCTCCTCACCACCTCCTCCTAGCCCCTCCTCCTAGCCCCTCCTCCTAGCCCTCCTCCTCACCCCTCCTCCTCGCCCCTCCTCCACACCTCCTCCTCCTCGCCCCTCCTATCCCTCCTCCTAGCCCCCCTCCTCTCCCCTCCTCCTCCTCACCCCTCCTCCTCACCTCCTCCTCCTAGCCCCTCCTCCTCTACCCTCCATACCCCTCCTCCTCACTCCTCCTCCTCACCCCTCCTCCTCCTTACTCCTCCTCCTCACCCCTTCTCCTCCTTACTCCTCCTCCTCACCCCTCCTCCTCACCCCTCCTCCTCACCCCTCCTCCTCACCTCCTCCTCCTCACCCCTCCTCCTCACCCCTCCTGCTTACCCCTCCTCTACGCCCCTCCTCCTCATCCCTCCTCCTCACCTCCTCCTCACCCCTCCTCCTCGCCCCTCCTCCTCGCCCCTCCTCCTCTACCCTCCATACCCCTCCTCCTCACCCCTCCTCCTCACCTCCTCCTCCTCACCCCTCTTCCACACCCCTCCTCCATACTCCTTCTCCTCACCCCTCCTCCTCCTTACTCCTCCTCCTAACCCCTTCTCCTCCTTACTCCTCCTCCTCACCTCCTCCTCACCCCTCCTCCTCACCCCTCCTCCTCACCCCTCCTCCTCACCCCTCCTCCTCACCCCTCCTCCTCCTCACCCCTTCTCCTCCTTACTCCTCCTCCTCACCCCTCCTCCTCACCCCTCCTCCTCACCCCTCCTCCTCACCTCCTCCTCCTCACCCCTCCTCCTCACCCCTCCTGCTTACCCCTCCTCTACGCCCCTCCTCCTCCTTACTCCTCCTCCTAACCCCTTCTCCTCCTCACCCCTCCTCCTCACCCCTCCTCCTCATCCCTCCTCCTCACCTCCTCCTCACCCCTCCTCCTCGCCCCTCCTCCTCGCCCCTCCTCCTCTACCCTCCATACCCCTCCTCCTCACCCCTCCTCCTCACCTCCTCCTCCTCACCCCTCTTCCTCACCCCTCCTCCATACTCCTTCTCCTCACCCCTCCTCCTCCTTACTCCTCCTCCTAACCCCTTCTCCTCCTTACTCCTCCTCCTCACCTCCTCCTCACCCCTCCTCCTCACCCCTCCTCCTCACCCCTCCTCCTCACCTCCTCCTCCTCACCCCTCCTCCTCACCCCTCCTGCTTACCCCTCCTCTACGCCCCTTCTCCTCCTTACTCCTCCTCCTCACCCCTTCTCCTCCTTACTCCTCCTCCTCACCCCTCCTCCTCACCCCTCCTCCTCACCCCTCCTCCTCACCTCCTCCTCCTCACCCCTCCTCCTCACCCCTCCTGCTTACCCCTCCTCTACGCCCCTCCTCCTCATCCCTCCTCCTCACCTCCTCCTCACCCCTCCTCCTCGCCCCTCCTCCTCGCCCCTCCTCCTCTACCCTCCATACCCCTCCTCCTCACCCCTCCTCCTCACCTCCTCCTCCTCACCCCTCTTCCTCACCCCTCCTCCATACTCCTTCTCCTCACCCCTCCTCCTCCTTACTCCTCCTCCTAACCCCTTCTCCTCCTTACTCCTCCTCCTCACCTCCTCCTCACCCCTCCTCCTTACCCCTCCTCCTCACCCCTCCTCCTCACCCCTCCTCCTCCTTACTCCTCCTCCTCACCCCTCCTCCTCACCCCTCCTCCTCACCCCTCCTCCTCCTTACTCCTCCTCCATACTCCTCCTCCTCACCCCTCCTCCTCACCTCCTCCTCCTCACCCCTCCTCCTCTACCCTCCATACCCCTCCTCCTCACCCCTCCTCCTCACCCCTCCTCCTTACTCCTCCTCCTCACCCCTCCTCCTCACCCCTCCTCCTCACCCCTCCTCCTCACCCCTCTTCCTCACCCCTCCTCCATACTCCTCCTCCTCACCCCTTCTCCTCACCCCTCCTGCTTACCCCTCCTCTACGCCCCTCCTCCTCACCCCTCCTCCTCACCTCCTCCTCCTCGCCCCTCCTCCATACTCCTCCTCCTCGCCCCTCCTCCTCTACCCTCCATACCCCTCCCCCTCACCCCTCCTCCTCACCCCTCTTCCTCACCCCTCCTCCATACTCCTCCTCACCCCTCCTCCTCCTTACTCCTCCTCCTCACCCCTCCTGCTTACCCCTCCTCTACGCCCCTCCTCCTCACCCCTCCTCCTCACCTCCTCCTCCTTGCCCCTCCTCCATACTCCTCCTCCTCGCCCCTCCTCCTCTACCCTCCATACCCCTCCTCCTCACTCCTCCTCCTCACCCCTCCTCCTCACCCCTCCTCCTCCTCACCTCCTCCTCCTCACCCCTCCTCCTCGCCCCTCCTCCTCTACCCTCCTCACCCCTCCTCCTCACCCCTCCTCTACACCCCTCCTCCTCACCCCTCCTCCTCCTTACTCCTCCTCCTCACCCCTTCTCCTCCATACTCCTCCTCCTCGCCCCTCCTCCTCGCCCCTCCTCCTCGCCCCTCCTCCTCACCCCTCCTCCTCACCCCTCCTCCTCGCCCCTCCTCCTCACCCCTCCTCCTCACCCATCTTCCTTACCCCTCCTCTGTCTCACCTTACATGCTGAGTATAGGGCTAGTTGTGGGCTGGGATGAATGGACGTTCCTGAGGAGACATTCACCACTACTCCACACTTCCTCTCAACCATCTGAGGTAGAACAAGCTTTGTCATCTACACAGCAAACAAAGTAATAAGAAATAAAGGGTTATTAGGGGACTAATGGAAAATTGCTGAAGGCTTGATCATACATAATGTGGTTAAGCCCTATTTTACATGATTATAAAATAGATGGTTATGAATAGTGTTGTAACATCACAGATATTTCCAATTCCGTTTAACCGCTAGTCAAAAACGGGCGGTTTTTGGTTAAACGATTTAAAAAAAAACTTTAACAAAAAAAATGGCATCAGTGAAGTATTGTGCTAGTATTTCAAGGCTGGAAACTTAGTTTTACAAGTCAACTTCTCAATCTACAATCTTGTAAATGATTGTTATCGTGTAGATTGTTGCTCTGCAATTCAACATTCAACAGTCAGGGCTTACTTATGATGACTATAATGTTAGCAAAACTTAATTCATCAGCTTCATAAAGAAAGTGAAACCCAGTCATTATTCCAAAGCATGCTCGACAGTAAAGGCTCTGTTTTTGTTTGGTGATTTTGTTTCTAATTATGTACATTTTCGATTTTCCAATTAAAAAAAAATATTCAAAATAAAAAAGGGAAACAAAACCGTCCAATTGAAAACGGATAGTGCCATGGATGGTCGGATACTGGACAGTTAAACATTTGACCACAGCACTAGTTATTAATAAATGACTATGAATGGGAAGTAGGGATGACAAGTGTAAGAAAGAGACGCTATGCATACTCATATACCTGAGTGCTATCAGATACAAAAAGCACACTACACATGATTAATTTCCTTTTGCCACAGCCGTTTTTTTTTTTGGGGGGGGCCAGTTTACATGTACATATCACATGGCAATGAGGCCTCACTTCTACAGAGATGATAATTGATACATCTACAGGTACATGAAGCAGAGAAGACATTCATTGTAAGGCAAATAAATAATATCAATTGTCATGATGATCTGTCTAATGATGATTTTGCTGATTTATTTATTAATTTTTTTATTTAAAATGGTTTATTTCATTAAAAAACATTCGCGGCCCGAGAGCTGAAATGCAATTTCTTTTACAAAGTATACATTAGTGACAAAGTAAAATTACACGTAAAACATTATGCATGGTAGCATTATGGTAGCAAAATTGGAATTCGTTTGTACATATGATATATAATTGTGCTTCAATTGTGATGGTGATGACTAGTATGATGAGTATGATTGAGAGCAATTACCATGGTAGCAGCTCCAATATTGATATTGATGAGTTGTCTTATACGATCTGCATCCATCTCAAGGAAGAGCTGTGGATAATCCATGGCACCAACATTGTTCACTGTCAAGAGAGAGAGAGGGGGTAAGAGAGAGGGGGATTAAGAGACAGGGGGGTTAAGAGAGAGGGGGAATTAAGAGAGAGGGGGAATTAAGAGACATGGGGATTAAGAGACAGGGGGTAAGAGAGAGGGGGATTAAGAGAGAGGGGGGATTAAGAGAGAGGGGGTAAGAGAGAGAGGGGGATTAAGAGAGAGGGGGAATTAAGAGAGAGGGGGATTAAGAGAGAGGGGGATTAACAAACTGATCTCAATGCAGTCTGCACAGAGCATAACAATTAATTTCAAAGATAAACTCAACATTTAATATTAATAATAATAATTGGATTTATATTTGGGCTATTGCCCTCGGCACGCCTCGGGCAATAGCACAATTTTTAACCTTCCCTTGAGCTTATATAAACAACTATTTCTCTAAAAGCAGTCATTAATACTGTACTATTAAATTGTAAATATTTATGCCACTGTCACAACCACACAATAGACTCCCCCTCCCATAGTGTAATATATATATATCAACGTTTTTAAACGAGCCCATGTACTTTTGAGAGAAGTTGAACACATATTTATTTAGGCTTCTTTTTACTTGTGAATTTTGTCAATGACTGTCAAGGCTCTGTACACTGAATATTTACCTAAGATACCTATCTGCATGCCCTGTAGTTTAGTTGAGATGTCTTCATATATCTCAGATCCAAGGCTGAAATCTGCTTTAATCACATGAGTCTTTACTCCATAGAAAGATTCTAAAATAGAAACATTAACAAAAGATTACTAACATTTATGATAGTGTTTCTTGTACTACAAATATTGATGAAATATGAATAAAACAATGTCTATATTATTATTATGAGATATTTAAGATCCAGGCTGACATTTGTTTTGTTTCTATTATGCAACATTCATTCATTCAATATAACCTGTTTTTGGACTAGAACATGTATCATGAATAAACATAGCATTAGAAATATCACAGTGCCAATTTGAGGAGTGGAATTGTCCTTACCGATCTCTGAAGCCACCTTCCTGAGTTTCTCATTAGAGCGACTGATAAGAATGATGTTCACTTACCGATCTCTGAAGCCACCTTCCTAAGTTTCTCATTAGAGCGACTGATAAGAATGATGTTCACTTACCGATCTCTGAAGCCACCTTCCTGAGTTTCTCACTAGAGCGACTGATAAGAATGATGTTCACTTACCGATCTCTGAAGCCACCTTCCTGAGTTTCTCATTAGAGCGACTGATAAGAATGATGTTCACTTACCGATCTCTCAAGCCACCTTCCTGAGTTTCTCATTAGAACGACTGATAAGAATGATGTTCACTTACCGATCTCTGAAGCCACCTTCCTAAGTTTCTCATTAGAGCGACTGATAAGAATGATGTTCACTTACCGATCTCTGAAGCCACCTTCCTAAGTTTCTCATTAGAGCGACTGATAAGAATGATGTTCACTTACCGATCTCTGAAGCCACCTTCCTGAGTTTCTCATTAGAACGACTGATAAGAATGATGTTCACTTACCGATCTCTGAAGCCACCTTCCTGAGTTTCTCATTAGAGCGACTGATAAGAATGATGTTCACTTACCGATCTCTGAAGCCACCTTCCTGAGTTTCTCATTAGAGCGACTGATAAGAATGATGTTCACTTACCGATCTCTGAAGCCACCTTCCTGAGTTTCTCATTAGAACGACTGATAAGAATGATGTTCACTTACCGATCTCTGAAGCCACCTTCCTGAGTTTCTCATTAGAGCAACTGATAAGAATGATGTTCACTTACCGATCTCTGAAGCCACCTTCCTAAGTTTCTCATTAGAGCGACTGATAAGAATGATGTTCACTTACCGATCTCTGAAGCCACCTTCCTGAGTTTCTCATTAGAGCGACTGATAAGAATGATGTTCACTTACCGATCTCTGAAGCCACCTTCCTAAGTTTCTCATTAGAGCGACTGATAAGAATGATGTTCACTTACCGATCTCTGAAGCCACCTTCCTGAGTTTCTCATTAGAGCGACTGATAAGAATGATGTTCACTTACCGATCTCTGAAGCCACCTTCCTAAGTTTCTCATTAGAGCGACTGATAAGAATGATGTTCACTTACCGATCTCTGAAGCCACCTTCCTGAGTTTCTCATTAGAGCGACTGATAAGAATGATGTTCACTTACCGATCTCTGAAGCCACCTTCCTGAGTTTCTCATTAGAGCGACTGATAAGAATGATGTTCACTTACCGATCTCTGAAGCCACCTTCCTAAGTTTCTCATTAGAGCGACTGATAAGAATGATGTTCACTTACCGATCTCTGAAGCCACCTTCCTAAGTTTCTCATTAGAGCGACTGATAAGAATGATGTTCACTTACCGATCTCTGAAGCCACCTTCCTGAGTTTCTCACTAGAGCGACTGATAAGAATGATGTTCACTTACCGATCTCTGAAGCCACCTTCCTGAGTTTCTCACTAGAGCGACTGATAAGACTGATGTTCACTTACCGATCTCTGAAGCCACCTTCCTGAGTTTCTCACTAGAGCGACTGATAAGACTGATGTTCACTTACCGATCTCTGAAGCCACCTTCCTGAGTTTCTCACTAGAGCGACTGATAAGAATGATGTTCACTTACCGATCTCTGAAGCCACCTTCCTGAGTTTCTCACTAGAGCGACTGATAAGACTGATGTTCACTTACCGATCTCTGAAGCCACCTTCCTAAGTTTCTCATTAGAGCGACTGATAAGAATGATGTTCACTTACCGATCTCTGACGCCACCTTCCTGAGTTTCTGACTAGAGCGACTGATAAGAATGATGTTCACTTACCGATCTCTCAAGCCACCTTCCTGAGTTTCTCACTAGAGCGACTGATAAGACTGATGTTCACTTACCGATCTCTGAAGCCACCTTCCTGAGTTTCTCACTAGAGCGACTGATAAGAATGATGTTCACTTACCGATCTCTGAAGCCACCTTCCTTAGTTTCTCACTAGAGCGACTGATAAGAATGATGTTCACTTACCGATCTCTGAAGCCACCTTCCTGAGTTTCTCACTAGAGCGACTGATAAGACTGATGTTCACTTACCGATCTCTGAAGCCACCTTCCTAAGTTTCTCACTAGAGCGACTGATAAGACTGATGTTCACTTACCGATCTCTGAAGCCACCTTCCTAAGTTTCTCACTAGAGCGACTGATAAGACTGATGTTCACTTACCGATCTCTGAAGCCACCTTCCTAAGTTTCTCACTAGAGCGACTGATAAGACTGATGTTCACTTACCGATCTCTGAAGCCACCTTCCTAAGTTTCTCACTAGAGCGACTGATAAGACTGATGTTCACTTACCGATCTCTGAAGCCACCTTCCTAAGTTTCTCATTAGAGCGACTGATAAGAATGATGTTCACTTACCGATCTCTGAAGCCACCTTCCTAAGTTTCTCATTAGAGCGACTGATAAGAATGATGTTCACTTACCGATCTCTGAAGCCACCTTCCTAAGTTTCTCATTAGAGCGACTGATAAGAATGATGTTCACTTACCGATCTCTGACGCCACCTTCCTGAGTTTCTGACTAGAGCGACTGATAAGAATGATGTTCACTTACCGATCTCGGAAGCCACCTTCCTGAGTTTCTCATTAGAGCGACTAATAAGAATGATGTTCACTTACCGATCTCTGAAGCCACCTTCCTTAGTTTCTCACTAGAGCGACTGATAAGAATGATGTTCACTTACCAATCTCTGAAGCCACCTTCCTGAGTTTCTCACTAGAGCGACTGATAAGAATGATGTTCACTTACCGATCTCTGAAGCCACCTTCCTGAGTTTCTCACTAGAGCGACTGATAAGAATGATGTTCACTTACCGAACTCTGAGCCTATTTCCTGAGTTTCTCACTAGAGCGACTGATAAGAATGATGTTCACTTACCGATCTCTGAAGCCACCTTCCTGAGTTTCTCGTTAGAGCGACTGATAAGAATGATGTTCACTTACCGATCTCTGAAGCCACCTTCCTGAGTTTCTCGTTAGAACGACTGATAAGAATGATGTTCACTTACCGATCTCTCAAGCCACCTTCCTTAGTTTCTCACTAGAGCGACTGATAAGAATGATGTTCACTTACCGATCTCTGAAGCCACCTTCCTGAGTTTCTCACTAGAGCGACTGATAAGACTGATGTTCACTTACCGATCTCTGAAGCCACCTTCCTGAGTTTCTCACTAGAGCGACTGATAAGAATGATGTTCACTTACCGATCTCTGAAGCCACCTTCCTTAGTTTCTCACTAGAGCGACTGATAAGAATGATGTTCACTTACCGAACTCTGAGCCTATTTCCTGAGTTTCTCACTAGAGCGACTGATAAGAATGATGTTCACTTACCGATCTCTGAAGCCACCTTCCTGAGTTTCTCGTTAGAGCGACTGATAAGAATGATGTTCACTTACCGATCTCTGAAGCCACCTTCCTAAGTTTCTCATTAGAGCGACTGATAAGAATGATGTTCACTTACCGATCTCTGAAGCCACCTTCCTGAGTTTCTCACTAGAGCGACTGATAAGAATGATGTTCACTTACCAATCTCTGAAGCCACCTTCCTGAGTTTCTCACTAGAGCGACTGATAAGAATGATGTTCACTTACCGATCTCTGAAGCCACCTTCCTGAGTTTCTCACTAGAGCGACTGATAAGACTGATGTTCACTTACCGATCTCTGAAGCCACCTTCCTAAGTTTCTCATTAGAGCGACTGATAAGAATGATGTTCACTTACCGATCTCTGACGCCACCTTCCTGAGTTTCTGACTAGAGCGACTGATAAGAATGATGTTCACTTACCGATCTCTCAAGCCACCTTCCTGAGTTTCTCACTAGAGCGACTGATAAGACTGATGTTCACTTACCGATCTCTGAAGCCACCTTCCTGAGTTTCTCACTAGAGCGACTGATAAGAATGATGTTCACTTACCGATCTCTGAAGCCACCTTCCTGAGTTTCTCACTAGAGCGACTGATAAGACTGATGTTCACTTACCGATCTCTGAAGCCACCTTCCTAAGTTTCTCACTAGAGCGACTGATAAGACTGATGTTCACTTACCGATCTCTGAAGCCACCTTCCTAAGTTTCTCACTAGAGCGACTGATAAGACTGATGTTCACTTACCGATCTCTGAAGCCACCTTCCTAAGTTTCTCACTAGAGCGACTGATAAGACTGATGTTCACTTACCGATCTCTGAAGCCACCTTCCTAAGTTTCTCACTAGAGCGACTGGTAAGACTGATGTTCACTTACCGATCTCTGAAGCCACCTTCCTAAGTTTCTCATTAGAGCGACTGATAAGAATGATGTTCACTTACCGATCTCTGAAGCCACCTTCCTAAGTTTCTCATTAGAGCGACTGATAAGAATGATGTTCACTTACCGATCTCTGAAGCCACCTTCCTAAGTTTCTCATTAGAGCGACTGATAAGAATGATGTTCACTTACCGATCTCTGACGCCACCTTCCTGAGTTTCTGACTAGAGCGACTGATAAGAATGATGTTCACTTACCGATCTCGGAAGCCACCTTCCTGAGTTTCTCATTAGAGCGACTAATAAGAATGATGTTCACTTACCGATCTCTGAAGCCACCTTCCTTAGTTTCTCACTAGAGCGACTGATAAGAATGATGTTCACTTACCAATCTCTGAAGCCACCTTCCTGAGTTTCTCACTAGAGCGACTGATAAGAATGATGTTCACT